GTCCAAGGACTGATTGAAACTATGGACAGGAAAGCACCTGGCAACTAAAACGGACTTGCAAAGAAACCAACCAGAACCAGACCTGCAAACTCAGATCCAATAGAAGGAGAACAAGTAACTATGGGAGGGGAACTGATAAGGGAATAAAAGTTACTATTTTTGTTCACTGCACTTGCGGGCTGTGAGTGGAACAGGAGACTCCCTGGCCGCCCAGCATGCTGTTTTGCTTATTCACATTTTCTATAAGTCTTCAATAAATTTTTATTCCTATATTTCAACTCAGTTTCATTTTACTTATAACAGGAGCCAGATGTTTGTGCCCACTGGGAGCTCTGGGAGCTCGTTCCTCCCAGGCCAGCAAAGCTGGGCCCCTCCCAGCAGAGCCAGACAACACAGTTCCATGGGGCCCTGCAGTGTCACAGTGGGCCCTAATTCCATGGACACCATTCCTAATTTACTGTCCAGACCAGAGGGAAATCACAGGAAGGGCCGTGGTTTGTCAGGACTTGCTTTATCTGAGTGAGCCCCGGGGGGCTTTTGGTGCTAAGTCCTTGTGGTTCAGAGAAATCCTCCACAATCTGTCAGGCACGCTGTTATCAGGGCTGGGGAGGTGCAGGGGGTTTGTCCCCCCGTGCATTCCACCCAGAAAAGGAACACAACAGCTTTTTATACCTTTGGAGGAGTGAGTTTAAAATTATCTATCACAGACACTCTGTTTTACAAAGTCTGCCTTATCTAAATAGACATTTGGTTGCCTAACTCCTATTCCTGCTACTATAGAGTGGTTACATAAAGTTTTATCATTTCAAACAGCTCAGGTTTCCCCCACCCCTTTTCTGTCTCCCTTGCCATGCTCCATGCTGGAAGTCTTTCCTGCTTTCCCTGACAGTCCCTTTTGTTTACATCGACTTTATCTCAATTGCCCACAGTTTGGGCAGCAACCTTCTTTCAAGCAGTTACAATTTTGCAAAGTCACACTTAACAGAGTGAAATTTTACTAACATGGCTAAATTTTTGTTGTATTTTATTTGTCTTTATTTCATCCCCAATGCCTCCAAGACCCCTTTTAACTCCCACAAATGCACCCAAAGCCATCCAAATCCTCATCCAACCACCCCCAGATCCCCCCAAATCTCCTCTAGCCCCCCCCCTCAAATCCATTCCAATCCCCCCTCAAAGAGGGATCACCCGGCACCCTGGGACAGGAACACAGTGGGCTGTACTGGGGGTACTGGGCTGTACTGGGAGGGCACTGGGGGGGCTCAGGTGCCCCACGACAACACGGCCCAGCCCCAGGAGAGATCTGGGGATAGTGAGGAGGTCCTGGTCTGTACTGGCCTGTCCTGGTCTGTACTGGTCTGTCCTGGGCTGTACCCCCAATGCCAAAGCCCATCTCCAGCTCTTTCAGGACTCTCCTGGACCCCAAAGCCCCCAGGCCCCTGACTTGGTCCTGCTGCCCCTGGAGCATCTCCAGCTCCTGCAGACCCAGCATTTCATGAGCAAATTTGAAGATGACACCAAGATGGGGGGTGCAGGATGTGCTGGAGTAGGGGAGTGTTTAGACCCAAGCCCTTCCCTTCAGGAGGTCCAGCCCCAGTAAACGAGCAGGAAGTTCACCCCAAATCATCAAGGTTTCACTTGCTTTCTTCCCCCCCGGTCAGCAGCATCTCAGCTTTGGTGTTCTCTGGGAGATGTGTGGGGTTAAAGCTGCTTCTGAGGTGGCTGCACTTCTGTCTGCTTTGCTGAGGCTTTCTGTGTGTCCTTTGAGCTGAATGCCAATGGGTTTCACAGCCCCAGGGAGACCTCTGAGAAGGGCAATCATTCTTTCAGGGTCTGCAGGCAGCATCACAGGGGATTCAGTGCTTGCTGTTCATTTCCTATCACCCATCATTTGTAAACAAGCAGCCTTTTGCACACTTCCCACAATCTGATGAACATTTCCCACTGTAGCCAGGGGATCTCCCCTTTGCAGGGGGTTGAGTCCCCCTGCCCAACAGGCTGCTCTTTGGGGAAGGGACCAGGGCCCACGAGAATCTCCAGTGCTCAGGAAAACTTCGGCTCCCCAGACCCCTTCAGCCTCTTTTGCTGGTAACAACATTTGGTCAGCCCCAGTAAGAGAGACTCTCCAAACATACTCAGTCTCAGATCCTGGAGGGGTTCTGCTCTATTCCTTTTTTAACTCAGCTAATTCAGTCGCTGACTGAGGAACTTCTTTGGCAGTTATTTGAGGGGTATTGTCATTTGAGAATCTATGTATTCTGTTTTAATTAGGGGACGGAGCGACACCTACAGCTTTTCCCCTTGGTCCCGCAAAGGCTTGAAGTCAGAGAGGGGGATGTTTCTTTAGAGGACTCCAGCTGTGACTCCTCTCTCCCTTCTCTCATTAATCTCGCCTACAGCTGCTCTCGGAGGCCCCTTTCGTTCCTCCTCTGTCCCCGGAGGACACTGCAGCAGCCGCTCGTTCCTCCCGCGGATCTGCCCAGATCGCCCCGCGCAGTCCCGAGTTCCGCGCTGGTTCTTTCGCTGCCGCAACTACAACTCCCGTGGTTCCCCGCGCGGGGCGGGGCCGTGGCGGGGGCGGGGCTGGAGGGGCGGTGCCCGCTCTCTGATTGGCTACGGCGGAGGGGTTTAAAGGCAGCGCGCGCGCCCAGCGCCATGTTGTCCAGCAGCGATCCAGGTGAGTGAGATGGCGGCTGCGGGGAGAGCGGGGCTGTTGGAACTGGGGAACTGTGAAAAGCCTGGAGGGCTCGAGAGGGCTTAGTGGGGGAGTTCGGGAGCTCCCGAAGGGCGGAGCGCGGCGATTGAAACCCTCTCTGGGGCGGGGAGAAAGGGGGGGCTCTCCCGGCGATGTGGCTTAAATGCGCAGGCGCGCCGGCCATGAGGGCACTACAACCCCCATGAGGATTTGCGCGGCGCCGCCATTCCTGCTGCAGCCACAGCGCCCCCTGCCGGCCCGGCGGACCGAGCGCAGGAAAGGGGGTGCTGGTGCCCCCCCCTTCGAGCCCCAGAGACCCCCAAAACTCATCACACAGAGACGCCAATGGGAGGGGGGGTCAGAGGGTCCCCTAAAGTCTAGTAATGGGGTTCAGGGGGTCCCCCAGCTCCCAGAGAAGGGGTCTTATGGGTGCCCCCCGAAGTCTGCGGGGGTCGATGTACCACATTCAGGTAATGGGGGCCCAGCGCCCCCAGTGTAGCCCAGTGACCTCCCACTGCCCCCCAGTACGGCCCAGTAATCCTCCAGTGAGCAACCAGAAACTACCAGTATGGCCCAGTAACCTCCCAGTGTCCCCCTGTGTGTCCTGGTAATCCCCCAGTAATCACCCAGTCCCTCCCAGTGCCCTCCCAGCATCCCTCAATAACCCCCCAGTCCCTCCCAGTGCCCTCTGGTTCCCCCCAGTGTGTCCCAGTATCCCCCAGTAATCACCCAGTTCCCCCAAAGCCCCCCAAGTGTCCCCAACGTGTCCCCAGATGCCCTTGACCTTTTTGTGAGTGTTGGGGGCTGGGGCTGTTTTGGGGGTCAGAGGGTCCAGGGGGACCTTCTGGGGGGAGATGGAGGGTTGGGGACATCAGGGATGGGGTTTGGGGACAGTGGGGAGGGGTTTGGGGACAGTGGAATGGGGGGTTTCAGGGTGGAAATTGGGACCTTGGGGAGGCCCTGGGACATTGGAGACACCAGGGGGGTCTCAGGGTCCAAGTGGGAAATTGAGGACACCAGGAGGGTCTTGGGGACACCAGGGGGGTCTCAGGACTCACCTGCTCGTGGTGCTGCCCCTCCTGTCCCCCCCAGGCCCCAGTAAGTACCCCCAAATGTCCCCTAATCCCCATTTTTCCTTTAATCCCCTCCCCCACTCAGATCCCTTTGACCCCCCAATGCTCCCAAGACCCCTTTTAACTCCCCCAAATGCACCCAGAGGCCCCCAAAACGCCCCAAATCCCAATCAAACCCCCAACAAAGAGGGATCACTTGGCACCCTGGGAACAGGAACACAGTGGGCTGTGCTGGGGGCACTGGGCTGTACTGGGAGGGCACTGAGGGGGCACTGGGCTGTACTGGGAGAGCCCTCATCCCCAAAGCCCCTCCCCTGGGCATCCATGCCACGGTCTGGGAACCACGGCGGGGTTGGATCAAGGGGTGCACTTGATGATCTGGGAGGTCTTTTCCAAGCCAGCTGATTCTGGGATTCTCTGGGTGCCATTGCCAGGGCAGCACATGCTGGAGGCTCTGTGCAGACAGAGAGACAAGGTCAGTCTGCAAAGATGTGGGGTTAGGAAAGCAGGAGAAGTTGTGGGGTGGTTGTGGCAGGAGAAAGAAGCCCCCAGGCCAGTGCAAGCAGGCCCCCCTGGGCTTGCACATCATCTGCCCTCCCTGCAGGTTCCTGTCCTGGAGAGCAGGCCCTGAGGTGTCCCTGAGCAATGGCCCAGAGGTGAGCCCTGAGGTGTCCCTGAGAAGAAGTGGAAGGCAGAGGTGGTGCTGAGGCAGGAGAGCCCCGTGCTGGGGAAGAGGCTGAGCTGGGAGTGCCCAGCAGCGAGAAGGTGCTGTGTCCATGCCCTGTGTGCCAGGTGAGCTGGGGCTTTGCTGCAGAGCTGCGGGCGCTGATTGGAGCGGCTGCAGCTGCTGAGCTGGTGGCACCAGGAACACAAAGTGTGCCCGGCCACGGAGCCTGCAGGGAGGAGCAGGGACAGGGTCAGGACCACTGTCAGCCCGGGGCTGGCTGGGCAGACACAGCAGGTTTGGGGTCCCCCTGGGAGCTGCCGAGGGTGGAGGGCGGAGCGGGCGATGCCGGAGCTGGGGGACCCCCGGCAGACTGGAGGGGGTAGCATGGAGAGGGAGGAGCCCCGGGACCCCCGGGAGCCTGAAACGGGGGGAGCGGAGAAGGGGAAGCCTGGAGAGTGGGGACCCCTGGGATCCCCGGGACAACAAGGTGGAGAACCTGGAGAGGGGGAATGTCTGGGAAGGTGGCACCCCAAAGGTGAGAGTCAGAGGAGAAGAGACCCCTTGGGCCCCCCAACACTCCCAACATTACCAAGTGGGACCCCCAACATCCCAGACAGGGGAGACCCTCTGAACCCCAGAGCGGGGAGACAAGACAGGGGGAACTCCTGTGAGAGTTTTTTTTGGGCTGAATCTTCATTTTGGCTGAACCTTACATTTTTACAGTTTGATGGGAGGTTTCCACCTCGCTATTTCTGAGGCGGTTTTTTGCGTGAATGTAGGCAGATTGGGTTTTTCTGAGCTGAATTGTGATGTTTTGGAGGCTTTTATGGTCCCAGGATGCCCGGTGAGTTCTAGAGATGGACTTGGGCAGGAGGAACCCCCAAGCCAACTCTCAGCCCTTGTTTCCCCCCAGCAGGATTTGTCCTTCCCAAAGCTTGGGCGGATGGAGGAGGAGGCTGCAAAGAAGAGGAAAAAGCCGCGGGCCCCCAGGCAGGTGAGGAGGAAGTCAGTGCCCCTTTGGCCCTGTCTTGTGGTGCCTGTGGGGGCCAAATTTGGGGGGGATGTTCTTGGGCTTCCCTCTGGGCCGGAGGCAAATCCCCTGCCTGTCCTTCTTCCTTCCTGCCCCAGGCCCCGAGCTGAGGACGGAGAGCACGGAGGACAAATCCCCCGGCAGAGCCTGGTGGGAGAGGCCGTTTTGAAGGGCTCCCCGGCGCAGGAAGGCAGCGGGGGGGAAAAGGCCCGGAGATGCCCCCGGAGGAGGGGCTGCAAAGCCAGCCCAGGGAGCTGTGAGGAGGAAAGACCCGTCCTGTGCCGGGAAGGCAACCGGAGCTTGAGCCGGAGCTCGGAGCTGGTGGTCCCTGAGCAGCCTCCCAGCAGGGAGAAGCCCTTCAGGTGCTTGGAATGTGGGAAGAGCTTCAGGGAGAGCTCCAAGCTCATCACTCACCAGCACATCCACACTGGGGAACGGCCATACACGTGTAGGGAATGTGGGAAGAGCTTCAGGAACAGCTCCACCCTGATCCAACACCAGCTCATCCACACTGGGGAACGGCCCTACACGTGTAGGGAATGTGGGAAGAGCTTCAGGTACAGCTCCCACCTGATCCGACACGAGCTCATCCACACTGGGGAACGGCCCTACAAGTGTGAGGAATGTGGGAAGAGCTTCAGTGACAGCTCCAGCCTCCGCACCCACCAGCTCATCCACACTGGGGAGCGGCCCTACAAGTGCTTGGAATGTGGGAAGAGGTTTCAGCGCAGCTCAGATCTCCTCGTGCATGAGCGGACACACACAGATGAGAGGCCCTTCCGCTGCACCGACTGTGGGAAGGGCTTCAACCTGAAATCCACCCTTGTCAAGCACCGGCGCATCCACACTGGGGAGAGACCCTACAAGTGTGAGGAGTGTGGGAAGAGCTTCAGCGACAGCTCTGCCTTTAGCAGACACCAACGGACCCACCGGTAAGGGAAGCCCCTCGAGTGCCCCGACTGCGGGAAGAACTTTGGCCGCTACTCCGGCTCCGTCACCCATCGGAGAACCCGCCTTGGGAACAGCCTTTTGGGGACCCACATTCCCGGTGACCCTCCTTGGGATCAGCCTTTTGGGGACCCACATTCCCGGTGACCGTCCTTGGAACAGCCTTTTGGGGACCCACATTCCCTGGTGACCGACCTTGGGAACAGCCTTTTTGGGGACCCACATTCCCAGTGACCCTCCTTGGAACAGCCTTTTTGGGGACCGACATTCTTGGTGACCCCTGTTTGGGAACAGCCTTTTGGAGACCCACATTCCCTGGTGACCCTCCTTGGGAACAGCCTTTTGGGGACCCACATTCCCCGGTGACCCTCCTTGGGATCAGCCTTTTGGGGACCCACATTCCCTGGTGACCCTCCTTGGGAACAGCCTTTTGGGGACCCACATTCCCAGTGACCCCTGTTTGGGGTTTATTGCCGTGCCGCGAATGGTTCTGTTTGAGATGGTTTTGTTTTTTTTCTTCCTTCCGATCGTTCGTAAATCGCTCGTTTTAGATAAATGTTCTGGTTTTGGCCGTGATTCATTAATTAATTGCCTGATGGCAGAGGATGGGATGAGGATGGATGCAGGTGGAGGTGGGTGGGATGGGAATTGAGTGGATGGGGGCCGATGGGATTGGGATGGAGGTGGATGGGACGGGGATGGAGGTGGATGGAGGTGGGTGGGATGGGGACTGAACAGATAGAGGTGGATGGGATGGGGATGAAGGTGGGTGGGATGGGGATTGGGCGGATGGGATGAGGATGGAGGTGGGATGGGATGGGGATTGGGTGGATGGGATGGGGATGGAGGTGGATGGGATGGGGACTGGGCAGATGGGACGGAGATGGAGGTGGATGGGATGGGGATTGGGTGGATGGGATGAGGATGGAGGTGGATGGAGGTGAGTGGGATGGGGATTGGGTGGATGGGATGAGGATGGATGCAGGTGGAGGCGGATGGGATGGGGATTGGGTGGATGGGATGAGGATGGATGCAGGTGGAGGTGGATGGGATGGGGATTGGGTTGATGGGATGGGGATGGATGCAGGTGGAGGTGGGTGGGATGGGTATTGGGTTGATGGGATGAGGATGGAGGTGGATGGGACGGGGATGAAGGTGTATGGAGGTGGGTGGAATGGGGATTGGGTGGATGGGATTAGGATGGATGCAGGTGGAGGTGGATGGGATGGGGATTGGGTGGATGGGATGGGGATTGAACAGATAGAGGTGGATGGGATGGGGATGGAGGTGGGTGGGATGGGGATTGGGTGGATGGGACAGGGATGGAGGTGGATGGAGGTGAGTGGGATGGGGATTGGGCAGATGGGATGAGGATGGATACAGGTGGAGGTGGATGGGATGGGGATGGAGGTGGATGGGATGGGGATGGAGGTGGATGGGATGTGGATGGATGCAGGTGGAGGTGGATAGGATGGGTATTAGGTGGATGGGATGGGGATTGAACAGATAGAGGTGGATGGGATGGGGATGAAGGTGGATGGGATGGGTATTGGGCGGATGGGATGAGGATGGATGCAGGTGGAGGTGGATGGGATGGGGATGGAGGTGGATGGGATGGGGATGGAGGTGGATGGGATGGGGATGGAGGTGGATGGGATGGGGATTGAGGTGGATGGGATGGGGATGGAGGTGGATGGGATGGGGATTGAGGTGGATGGGATGGGGATGGATGCAGGTGGAGGTGGATGGGATGGGGATTGAGGTGGATGGGATGGGTGTGGAGGAGGATGGAGGTGGATGGGATGGGGATTGGGTGGATGGGATAAGGATGGAGGTGGGATGGGATGGGGATTGGGTGGATGGGATGGGGATTGAGGTGGATGGGATGGGGATGGAGGTGGATGGGATGGGGATGGATGCAGGTGGAGGTGGATGGGATGGGGATGGAGGTGGATGGGATGGGGATGGATGCAGGTGGAGGCGGATGGGATGGGGATGGAGGTGGAGGCGGGAAGATGGAGGTGGGAGGGACGGGGATGGAGGCAGATGGGATGCAGGTGGAGGTGGACGAGACGGGGATGGATGCGGGTGGAGGTGGAAGAAGGCGGGTGGGGGCGGGTGGAGGGGGATGGGGGCAGATGGATGGGATTCAGGTCGGATCGGGATCAGGGCGGCTGAAGGAAGATGGAGGTGAACACGAGGGGATGGGGATTGGGCGGATCAGAGGGGGCGGGGGCGGATGGGGGAGGATGGGATGGGGATTGGGCGGATGGGGAGGATGGGATGGGATTGAGCGATGGGGGAGGATGGGATGGGGATTGGGCGGATGGGGAGGATGGGACGGGATTGGGCGTATGGGGGAGGATGGGACGGGGATTGGGCGGATGGGGGAGAATGGGACGGGGATTGGGCGGATGGGGAGGATGGGACGGGGATTGGGCGGATAGGGAGGATGGGACGGGATTGGGCGGATGGGGAGGATGGGATGGGGATTGGGTGAATCGGAGGGGAGTGGGGGCAGACGGGGAAGGATGGGACTAGGATTGGACAGATCGGGGCTGAGGGGGGATGGACAAGCACGGAGCCATTCAGGGTTGGATCCCGTGCCGGCAGCTCCTCCCGTCCTTTCCAGCGGAGCCGAGGGAAGGGCTGACCACGTGGTCGGGACTGGAGGGGGGATTTACAGATTTGGGGGTCCCTGGGGGGGTGTGGAGGTTTGGGGGTCCCATCCCATCAATCCCATCCCATCCCATCCCATCCCATCCCATCCCATCAATCCCATCCCACCCAACCCATCCCATCCCATCTCATCAATCCCATCCCATCCCATCCCATCCCATCCCATCCCATCCCATCAATCCCATCCCATCCCAACCCATCCCATCCCATCCCATCCCATCCCATCCCATCAATCCCATCCCATCCCATCCCATCCCATCAATCCCATCCCATCCCATCCCATCCCATCCCATCCCATCCCATCCCACCATTCCAGGTCCACATTGCAATTTAATTTTTTTTTTTTTGTGAAATTAATTTTAATTAATGAACCCAATAAATAGTAATAAAACATTAAAATAATATTAATATTAAATATTAATTTACAATCCCAATAAATAATAATAAAATAATAAACTCACACAATGAAATCCTTCTCTGGGGGGCAGATTTTTCATCACCCCTCTTTTATCCACCCTCATTTTTGCATCAAATTCATCCAGTTCTGACAATTTTATTAAGATTTTATTGAAATTTTTAAAGTTTTATTTAATTTTTATTATTCAAATTTTATTTTAAATTTTTTAAAATTTTATTTGCATTTTATTTACATTTTATTTACATTCTCTTTAAATTTTTTAATTCTATTTAGGTTTTATTTAATTTTTATTATTTAAATTTTACTTACATTTTGTAATTTTTATTTACATTCTATTTAATTTTTTAAATTTTATTTACTTTTTTAAAGTTTTATTGAATTTTTGTTGAAATTTTATTTTTAAAATCCCCAAATTACCTCATTTTATTCCTTAAAATTCACAGCTGGAAACTTTTGGGGGGGTTTATTTAAATTTTATTTAAATTTTATTTAATTTTTCTTTAAGATTCATTTAAATTTTATTTATTATTTTTAAGTTTTATTTACCTTTTTTTTAAGTTTTATTTAAAATTTTATTAAAATTTTATTTCAAAAATCACCAGATTGCCTCAATTTATTCCTTAAAATTCACAGCTGGAAACTTTTTGGGTTTTATTTACATTTTATTTAAATTTTATTTAAAATTTTTTTACAAATTATTTAAAATTTTTTAAAGTTTTATTGAATTTTTATTGACATTTTATTTTAAAAATCCCCAAATTGCCTCATTTTATTCCTTAAAATTCCCAGTTGGAAACTTTGGGGGTTTTATTTAAATTTTATTTAAATTTTATTTAATTTTTCTTTAAGATCTATTTAAATTTTTTTAAAATTTTTTAAGTTTTATTTACCTTTTTTTAAGTTTTATTGAAATTTGATTTCAAAAATCCCCAAATTGCCTCATTTTATTCCTTAAAATTCACAGCTGGAAACTTTTTGGGTTTTATTTACATTTTATTTACATTTTATTTAAATTTTTTTTACATTTTATTTAAATTTTTGTTAAGTTTTATTGAAATTTTATTGACATTTTATTTCAAAAATCACCAAATTGCCTCATTTTATGCCTAAAATTCACAACTGGAAACTTCGGGGGGGGGGGGTGTTATTTAAATTTTATTGAAATTTTAGTAAAATTTTATTTAATTTTTTTAAGTTTTATTAAATGTCATTAAGTTTTATTTACTTTTTTTTTTAAATTTTATTGACTTTTTTTAACATTTTATTTCAAAAATCACCAAATTACCTGGTTTTATGCCTAAAATTCACAACTGGAAACTTCTGGGGGGTTTTATTTAAATTTTCATGAAATTTTATTTAAATTTTATTGAAATGTTATTTAATTTTTTTTAAGTTTTATTACATTTCTTTTAGTTTTATTTACATTTTTTTAAGTTTTAGTGACATTTTATTAAAATTTTATTTCAAAAATCACCAAATTACCTCATTTTATGCCTAAAATTCACAGCTGGAAACTTTTGGGGGTTTTATTTACATTTTATTTACATTTTATTTATTTTTTTTTTTACATTTTATTTAAAATTTTTTAAAGTTTTATTAAATTTTTATTGAAATTTTATTCTTAAAGTCACTATTATATCATTTTTCTTCAATTTATTTTTTATGTTTTATTTAAATTTTTTAAAGTTTTATTTAAATTTCATTTAAATTTTAATAAATTTGTTGAAGTTTGAAGGATTTTGGGGGAGAAAAAGTTCAAGTCCAGGTGAGGGTGAAGTTCTGGCCCAGCTCCAGCGCCAGCTCCGTGATCGTCAGCACCTGGGGGAGAGAAAAAACAACAAGAAATGGAATTTTCGTGATAAAAACACCCAAAAAAATGGATTTTTTGTGATTAAAAACCCAAAAATAGATTTTTTGTGATTAAAAACCCAAAAAGTGGATTTTTTGTGATTAAAAAACCCAAATAAATCGATTTTTTTATGGAAAAAAAAAACCAATAAATGGATTTTTCATTATAAAAAACGCCAATAAATGGATTTTCTATGATTAAAAAAAACAGAGAAATGGATTTTTCATGATAAAAAAACCCAAAATAAATCGAATTTAATGGTAAAATAACATAAATAATTGAATTTTTAGTGATAAAATCCTCAAAATAAAGGGACTTTTCATGATAAAAAAACCCAAATAAATGGATTTTTTGTGATTAAAAAACCTCAAATAAATGGATTTTTAGTAATAAAAAACCCAAATAAATGGATTTTTTTGTGATTAAAAACCCCAATAAATGGATTTTTTGTGATTAAAAACCAAAAAAATGGATTTTTTGTGATATAAACCCCAAATAAATGGATTTTTAGAAATAAAACAAAACAAAAAATGGATTTTTTGTAATTAAAACAAAAATGAAACAAAATAAAAATAAATATAGAAATAAAAATTAAAATAAAAATAAAAATGACAATAGAAATAAAAAATGAAACTGAAAATAAAAATTAAAATGAAATTAAAAATAAAATAAAAATAAAATAGAAATGAAAATTAAAGTAAAAGTAAAAATAACAATTAAAATAAATGTAAGAGTAAGAATGAAAATGAAAATAAGAAATAAAAATAAAAATAAAAATAAAAATGAAACTAAAAATAAAAATAAAATAGAAAACTTAAAATAAAAATAAAAATTAAAATGAAAACGAAAACAAAAGTAAAAATAAAAATAGAAATAAAGTAAAAGTTACAATAAAAATTGTTATAAAAATACAAAATGAAAATAAAAATCCAAACTGAAAATGAAAATAAAAACTAAAACAAAAATAAAAGTAAAAGTAAAAATAAAACTGAAAATAAAAATAAAATGAAAATAAAAAAAATTAAAATAGAAATTAAAATTAAAATGAAAATGAAAACAAAATAAAAATATAAATTAAAATAAAATAAAAATAGAAATTAAAATTAAAATGAAAATAAAAAAAATAAAAATAGAAATTAAAATGAAAATAAAAATAAAATTAAAATAGAAATTAAAATAAAAATTTAAATTAAGTAAAAATAAAAATTAAAAAAGAAACGAAAATGAAAATAAAAATAAAATTAAAATTGAAAATGAAACTAAAACTAAAATTTAAATGAAAATGAAAATTAAAAATAAAGATGAAAATAAAAAGAGAAATCAACCAGAAATCAACTTTTCAAACCTAGAAATGCAAATTAAAACAAAAATAAAAATATAATAAAAATAAAAATAAAATAAAAATAAAAATAAAATAATAATAAAACCGAAATAAAAATAAAAATGAAACAAAATAAAAATAAAAACAGAAATTAAAATTAAAATAAAAATTTAAATAAGGTAAAAATAAAAATTAAAAAAAATAAAAATGAAATGAAAATGGAAATAAAAAGAAAATTAGAAATTAAAATGAAAAGAAAAAATAAAATTAAAAATGAAAATAAAAATTAAAATTAAACTAAAACTAAAAATTTAAATTAAACTGAAAATGAAAAATAAAAATGAAAATAAAAATAGAAATGAAATAGAACTCAATTTTCAAATGTAGAAATGCAAATTAAAACAAAATAAAAATAAAATAAAAATAAAAATAAAATAAAAATAAAAATTAAATAAAAATAAAAATGAAACAAAAATAAAAACTAAATCAAAAAAAATGAAACAAAAATAAAAATAAAAATTGAAATTAAAATAAAAATTTAAATAAGGTTAAAATAAAAATTAAAAAAAATAGAAATGAAACGAAAATGGAAATAAAAATAAAATTAAAAATGAAAATAAAAATAAAAATGAAACTAAAACTCAAAATAAAATTTAAAAATCATATTACAACTCCAATAAAGTGTGTACCTGGGTGGTGCCGTCGTGCTCCACGCGGTGCCCGGACTGGATCTGCTGCCCGTTCCTCTCCACGCTGACCCCGCCCACGGGCGCGGCCACGCCCAGCACGCGGATCTGGGTGAACCGCAGAGCGTTGGGGTCGACGTAACCCCCGTGCAGAACACGCAGCTCCAGAACGTTCTGGAAACGGGCAGGAGAAAAATACAGGGCACCAAAATTCCCCTTTTCAGTTTTTAATTAATTTTTATTAATGTTTTATTAATAGATTATTAATAAATATTTATTCGTGCAATTATAAATTATATTATTTATTATATTATATTATATTATATATTATATTATAAATGCAATTATAAATTATATTATAAATTATAAATTCTATAAATTATAAATATCTATTTGTGCAATTCATTATGAATTCCAAATTAATATATAGTATATAAAAATATTTTTAATTAATTAAAAAATTATTAATAAAATTTAATAATATTAATAATTAATAATGAATTAATAAATAATATAAATTAATGAAATACATCTCTAAAAATATGTAATTAAAATAAATATTAATACGTCCGTGTAATTTGTTATGAATTTGAAATTAATATATACTATATAAAATATTATTATTTTAAATTAATTAAAATAATAATAAATTAATAATATTTTTAATAATATTAATAGTAATTAACAATAAATTAATAAATAATATGAATTAATTAACTAGATCTCTAAAAATATGTAATTAAAATAAATATTAATATGTTCGTGTAATTTGTTATGAATTCGAAATTAATATATACTATATAAAAGATTATTATTTAAAATTAATTAAAATAATAATAAATTAATAATAATTTTTATAATATTGATAGTAATTAATAATAAATTAATAAATAATTTAAATTAATTAAATACATCTCTAAAAATATGTAATTAAAATAAATATTAATAAGTCTGTGTAATTTGTTAGGAATTCGAAATTAATATATACTATATAAAAACATTATTTTTAAAAAATTAATTGAAATAATAATGAATTATTAATAATATTAATAATAATTAATAATGAATTAATAAATAATTTAAATTAATTAAATACATCTCTAAAAATATGTAATTAATACACATGATATACTATGTTTCTTAGTGTAATTGATATAATAATATCATTAATATACAATGTCATTATATTAATGGATATTATGGATATGATATCAATTAGAAATTAATATATAGTATATAAAAATATATAATTTATGTATATAATTAATTAAATGCATCTCTAAAAATAATATCAAAAATTTATACTTAATTTAAGAACTAATAAATTATAAATATAATATTGTCATTAGGCTTTATGTTATTATATGTACATATCTATTTTATATATTGTATATATACAATTATAATCTATATATTATATAACCTGTGTGTAATTTTTTTAATATTGTAAATAGTCTATTTTAATATAATAATAATTAATATAATATTTATCTTTTTATTGTGCTTGTATAATAATTATATTATTATATTATGTATTTTTATTATATTTTAGTATTACGAATTACAATTATATCATAATTATAATTTTTCTTATAATTATAATTAAAACAAATCATTATAATTTTTATATTTTATATATAACATATATATTACATGTTGTGTAATATAAATATGTATAATATATATAAATAAGGTATATAATATATAAATAAAGTATATATATAAAAATAAATAAATGAAGTATGATCTATAATTATAATCTATTTAATATATATCATCTATAATACAATATTGTAACATTGTAAACTGTGTATTAAAACATAAAATATAGTAATATATTTTTATATATTTTTATGTAATATATATTGTATATATGTAATATATATTTTATTTATATGTTTATATATTTAATATAAATTAAATTAATTAAAATTTAACTTAAATTTAATAAAAAATTTAAATAAATTAATTAAAATAAGTAAAATATTTATAATTTTTAGATTACAAACAATATAATTATAATATTGTAAATAGTCTATTGTACTCTAATATATATTATAGAAATATATATATATTTTATAAATATAGATTTTTATGTGTTACTGGATTATATATATCACATATATATTATTTCTCTTCTAATTTAATGTATATTATAAATTATATATTATATATTATACATAATAAAATTTATTTATAGCATTGTAAATAGCCTCTTATGATGTGTATTATTTAATATATTTAAAATATAAATATAAAATATAAATATATAAAAATATATAAATATAAAATATATAAGAATATAAAATATATTAAAATATAAATATATAAAATATAAATATATAAAAATAAATATATAAAATATAAAAAATATAAATATATAAATATATAAAATATCTAAAATTCCCCCTGTTGGTCACGTGACTCACGGTGTGGGCGGTGAATTCCATCAGCAGGTACCGCCCGGCCTCGACCGTGTCTGGGGAGGGGAAAGAAAATCAGGGATAAAAGGAAAGAAATTTGATTGGATTAGGAAGGAAAATAAAAATAAAATAAAAATTAACATTTAAAAATTAAAATTTAATGTTAAAGGTGAAAATGAAATTAAGGGGGAAAATAAGAATTAACAAATCCAAATTTAAGATAAACCCAAAAAAATTAGAGTGAAAATCAAATTTAATATTTAAAGTTAAAATTAAAATTTTAATTAAAAAAAATTAAAAATTTAAAATTAAAAGGGAAAATTAAACTTTAAAATTAAAAGCACGAAAAATGAAATGACAGGGAAAATAAAAATTCATTTAAAAAATTGGAATTTAAAGTTAAAAATGGAAATGAAATTACGGTGAAAATAAGAATTAAAACTCAACATTTAAAATGAGACGGAAAAAAGATCAATCAATTATGCAAATGAGGCGCTGTGACCATTTTTCAAGCAATTAATTATTCAAATGAGGATCAGTGGCCACTGGGTGAATCAATCAATTATGCAAATGAGGGGCAATGATCACTGGGTGATTAAATAATTTTTTAAATGAGGGGTTGTGACCACTGAGTGAGTAAATTAATTAACACAAATGAGGGGCAGTGGCCACTCATCGAGCCAATTAATTATTCAAAGAAAAGGGCGGTGGCCACTGGGCAAGTCCATTAATTATGCAAATGAGGGGCTGTGGCCACTGAGCAGGTCAATTAATTACACAAGTGATGGGTGGTGAGTAAATTAATTATGCAAAAAAGGGAAGCTGGCCATTGGACGAGCTGATTAATTTCAGAAATGAGGGGCTCTGGCCACTGTGTGAGCCAATTAATTATGCAAATGAGGGGCAACCGTCACTGGGTGAATCAATTAATTATTGAAATGAGGGGCGGTGGCCTCTCCAGTTAATTAATTGCACAAATGACAGTCGGTGACCACCGGACGAGTAAATTAATTATGCAAATCAGGGGCTGCGGCCACTTATCGAGCCGATTAATTATGCAAATGAGAGGTGGGGAGCCAATCAATTATGCAAATGAGGGGGAGGGGTCTCACCGATGCCGACGCCGTCGTCCCAGAAGAGGCTCCCGCGGGCCCGGAGGGCGTCGTCCAGAGCCACCGTCAGGCTCAGAGCGTTCCGCCGGCTGGAAAGGGGGGAACGGGGAGGGAAATTGGGAATGGGGAGGGAAAATTGGGAATGGGGGCAGGAAAATGGGGAATGGGGAGGGAAAAGTGGGAATGGGGCGGGAAAAGTGGGAATGGGGAGGGAAAAATGGGAATGGGGAGGGAAAATTGAGAATGGGGAGGGAAAAGGGGAATGGGGGAGGGAAAATGGGAATGGGGAGGGAAAAGTGGGGATGGGGAGGGAAAAGTGGGAATGGGGAGGGAAAATTGGGAATGGGGAGGGAAAAGTGGGAATGGGGCGGGAAAAGTGGGAATGGGGAGGGAAAAATGGGAATGGGGAGGGAAAAGTGGGAATGAGGGTGGGAAAATGGGGATGGGGAGGGAAAAGTGGGAATGGAGTGGGAAAAGTGGGGATGGGGAGGGAAAAATGGGAAGGGGGGAGGGAAAGAGGGAAAAAGGAGGGAGGGAGGAAGCCCGGGGTGGGCGTGGCTGCCATTGATGGGTGGGTGTGGCTGCCATTTACCTGGGTGGGTGTGGCTGCCATTTACCTGGGTGGGTGTGGTTTCCATTTACCTGGGTGGGTGTGTCTGATCTCCCCTGGGTGGGTGTGGCTGACCTCACTTGGGTGGGTGTGGTTTCCGTTTACCTGAGTGGGTGTGGCTTCGATTGACATGTGAGCGTGGCTGATCTCACTTGGGTGGGTGTGGCTGCCATTTACCTGGGTGGGCGTGGCTGCCATTTACCTGGGTGGGTGTGGCTGCAATTTACCTGGGTGGGTGTGGCTGCAATTTACCTGGGTGGGCGTGGCTACCATTGACCTGGGTGGGTGTGTCTGACCTCAGGTGGGTGGGTGTGGCTACCATTTACCTGTGTGGGTGTGGCTTCCATTTACCATGGTGGGTGTGTCTGATCTCACCTGGGTTGGTTTGACTGCCATTTACCTGAGTGGGTGTGTCTGATCTCACCTGGGTGGGTGTGACTGCCATTTACCTGGGTGGGTGTGTCTGACCTAACTTGGGTGGATGTGGTTTCCATTTACCTGGGTGGGTGTGGCTTCCTTTGATGTTTGGGTGTGTCTGACCTCACGTGGGTGGGTGTGGCTTCCATTTACCTGGATGGGTGTGTCTGACCTCACTTGGGTGGGTGTGGCTTCCATTTACCTGGGTGAGTGTGGCTGCCATTTACCTGAGTGGGTATGGCTACCATTGATGTGTGGGTGTGTCTGATCTCACCTGGGTGGGTGTGGTTTCCACTTACCTGGGTGGGTGTTTCTGATCTCACCTGGGTGAGTGTGGCTACCATTTACCTGGGTGGGCGTGGCTTGCATTTACCTGGGTGGGTGTGTCTGCCATTTACCTGGGTGGTTGTGTCTGATCTAACCTGGGTGGGTGTGGCTTCTATTGATGTTTGGGTGTGTCTGATCTCATATGGGTGGACATAGTTGCCACTTACCTGTGTGGGTGTGTCTGATCTCCCTGAGTGGGTGTGACTGCCATTTACCTGGGTGGGTGTGTCTGATCTCCCCTGGGTGGGTGTGGCTGCCATTTACCTGGGTTGGTTTGACAGCCATTTACCTGGGTGGGTGTGGCTTCCTTTGATGTGTGGGTGTGTCTGATCTCCCCTGGGTTGGTTTGACTGCAATTTACCTGAGTGGGTGTGGCTTCCATTTACCTGGGTGGGCGTGACTACAATTTACCTGGATGGGTGTGTCTGATCTCACTTGGGTGGGTGTGTCTGCTCTTACCTGAGTGGGTGTGACTGCCATTTACCTGGATGGGTGTGTCTGATCTCCCCTGGGTGGGCGTGGCTTCCATTTACCTGGATGGATGTGTCTGATCTCCCCTGGGTGGGTGTGGCTGCAAGTTACCTGAGTGGGTGTGGCTACCATTGATGTGTGGGTGTGGTTGCCATTTACCTGAGTGGGTGTGGTTTCCACTTACCTGGTTGGGTGTGTCTGATCTTACCTGGTTGGGTGTGTCTGATCTCCCCTGGGGGGGCATGGCTGCCATTTACCTGGGTGGGTGTGGCTACAATTTACCTGGGTGGGTGTGTCTGACCTCACCTGGGTGGGTGTGTCTGAGATCCCTTGAGTGGGCATGGCTGCCATTTACCTGGGTGGGTGTTTCTTATCTCACCTGTGGGTGTGTCTGATCTCACCTGGGTGGGTGTGGCTGCCATTTACCTGGGTGGGTGTGGCTGCCATTTACCTGGGTGGGTGTGACTGCCATTTACCTCGGTGGGTGTGGCTTTCACTTACATGAGTGGGTGTGGCTTCCATTTACCTGGGTGGATGTGTCCAATCCCACCTGGGTGGGTGTGGCTGCCATTTACCTGGGTGGGTGTGTCTGATCTCACCTGATTGGGCGTTGCTGCCATTTACCTGGGTGGGTGTGTCTGATCTCACCTGGGTGGGCGTGTCTGATCTCCCCTGGGTGGGTGTGGCTGCCATTTACCTGGGTGGGTGTGGCTGCCATTTACCTGGGTGGGTGTGTCTGATCTCCCCTGGGTGGGCGTGGCTACCATTTACCTGGGTGAGTGTGGCTTCCATTTACCTGGGTGGGTGTGGCTTCCATTTACCTGGGTGGGTGTGTCTGATCTCACCTGGGTGGGCGTGGCTGCCATTTACATGGGTGGGTGTGTCTGACCTCACTTGGGTGGGTGTGGCTTCCATTTACCATGGTGGGTGTTTCTGATCTCCCCTGGGTGGGTGTGGCTGCCATTTACCTGGGTGGGTGTGGCTTCCATTTACCTGTGGGGGTGTGTCTGACCTCACTTGGGTGGGTGTGGCTGCCATTTACCTGGGTGGGTGTGTCTGATCTCCCCTGGGTGGGCGTGGCTGCCATTTACCTGGGTGGGTGTGGCTTTCTTTGATGTTTGGGTGTGTCTGATCTCCCCTGGGTGGGCGTGGCTTCCATTTACCTGGGTGGGTGTGTCTGATCTCACCTGGGTGGGTTTGACTGCCATTTACCTGAGTGGGTGTGAGTGCCATTTACCTGGGTGGGCGTGTCTTCCCTCACTTGTGGGCGTGTCCCTCCCCCTGTGGGCGTGTCCCTCCCCCCGTGGGCGTGTCCCCCCCGTGGGCGTGTCCCCCTCACCTGTAGGTGGTGTTATTGGCCGGTTCCTGCTGGGGCAGGATGCTCCCTCCCCTGACGTGCAGGTTGATGTGCCCGAGCGGCGCCGGCAGCTCCACGAATTGACGTCGAATTCCGACCTCCTCCCCCTGGGAAAGGGCGGGAAAAACAACCCAAAAACATCAAAATTAAAACCTAAAAAAATTAAAAATGAAAAGAAAAAAATTACCTCGAAATTTGGCTCCTGTTTGGTGAAATTATTGGGGTTTATTGATTTTTTTTTTTAGGTTTGGTTTTTTAAGATTTTTGAACTTTTTGCTGATTTTTTTTTTAAGGAATTAATGTTCTTGATTGTTGCGATTTTTAATTTTAGTTGCTTAAGATTTATTAGGATAAAGTTAAGTAAAAAAAAAATAAGAAAGGAAAACAAATTAAATAAAAATAAAATAAAATAAAATGAAATGAAATAAAATAAAATGAAATAAAAGTAAGATAAAATAAGATAAAATAAAAATAAGATAAGATAAAATAAAATAAAATTAAAATAAGATAAAATAGGGTAAAATAGAATAAAAATAAAATAAAATAAAAATAAGATAAAATAAGATAAAATAAAAATAAGATAAAATAAAATGAAAATAAGATAAAATAGGGTAAAATAGAATAAAAATAAAATAAAATAAAATAAAATAAAACAAAATAAAATAACATAAAATAAAAATAACATAAAATAAAATTAAAATAAAATAAGGTACAAATTGAACCATCTTGCATCGGGCAGATATGGGTTAGGGTTGAGTTTAGGGTCAGGTTTAGTGTCAGGGTTAATTTTAGGCTCAGGTTTAGTCTCAGGTTTAGGTTCAGGTTTGGGATCACGTTTGGGGTCAGGTTTAGGCTCAGGTTTGGGGTCAGCTTTAGGCTCAGATTTAGGCTCAGGGTTAGGTTCAGGTTTAGGTTCAGTGTTAGGATTGAGTTTAGGATCAGCATCAGGTTTAGGGTCAGGTTTGGGGGCAGGGTTAATTTTAGACTCAGGTTTAGGCTCAGCTTTAGGCTCAGCTTTGGGGTCAGCTTTGGGCTCAGGTTTAGGTTCAGGGTTAGGGTTGAGTTTAGGGTTAGGTTTGGGGTCAGGGTTAGGGTTGAGTTTAGGTTTAGGTTCAGGTTTAGGCTCAGGTTTAGGTTCAGGTTTAGGTTCAGGGTTAGTGTTGAGTTTAGGGTCAGGTTTGGGCTCAAGATTAGGGTTAGGATTGAGTTTAGGGTTTAGGCTCAGGTTTGGGCTCAGAGTCAGGGTTAGGGTTGAGTTTAGGGTCAGGTTTAGGGTCAGGATTAGGGTTAGGGTTATTTTAGGGTTTAGGCCCAGCTTTAGGCTCAGCTTTAGGCCCAGGTTTGGGGTCAGGGTCAGGTTTAGGCTTGAGTTTAGGCCCAGGTTTGGGCTCAGGATTAGGGTTAGGGTTATTTTAGGGTTTAGGCCCAGCTTTAGGCTCAGCTTTAGGCCCAGGTTTGGGGTCAGGATTAGGGTTAGGGTTATTTTAGGTTTAGTTCCAGCTTTAGGCTCAGCTTTAGGCCCAGGTTTGGGCTCAGGATTAGGGTTAGGGTTATTTTAGTGTTTAGACCCAGCTTTAGGCCCAGCTTTAGGCCCAGGTTAGGGTTGAGTTTAGGGTCAGGTTTGGGGTCAGGGTCAGGTTTAGGGTTGAGTTTAGGGTCAGGTTTGGGCTCAGGGTCAGGGTTAGGGTTCAGTTTAGGCCCAGGTTTGGGGTCAGGGTCAGGTTTAGTGTTTAGGCTAAGCTTTAGGCCCAGGTTAGGGTTGAGTTTAGTGTTTAGGCCCAGCTTTAGGCCCAGCTTTAGGCCCAGGTTTGGGCTCAGGGTCAGGTTTAGTGTTTAGGCCCAGCTTTAGGCCCAGCTTTAGGCCCAGGTTTGGGGTCAGGATTAGGGTTAGGGTGTGATTAGGGTTTAGGCCCAGCTTTAGGCCCAGCTTTAGGCCCGGGTTGGTCACTCACGGTGTAGAAGTCGAACCAGCGCGCGTCGGGCAGGTACAAACGCAGCGAGCTCAGCCCCTGTGGGGACACAGCCACGGACAGAATGGAGCCCAAACCCTCCGGAATTCCTGGGATGAGCCCAAAGCCCTCAGGAATTTCCAGGAATTATCCCAAAATCCCAAATCCCTCAGGAATTTCCTGGAATGATTTTCCCACCACCCCAATCCCAAAGCCCAAATTCCTCAGGAATTTCTGGCTGATTTTCCCTGATGCCAAATCCCAAATCCCCCAGGAATTCCCAGGAATGATCCCAAATCCCAAAGCCCAAATCCCTCAGGAATTTCCTGGGATGATCCCAAATCCCAAATCCCTCAGGAATTCCCTGGTATGATCCCAAATCCCAAATCCCTCAGGAATTCCTGGATGATTTTCCCTGATCCCAAATCCCTCAGGAATTCCCAGGGATGATCCCAAATCCCTCGGGGATCCCCAGGAATGATCCCTAATCCCAAATCCCTGGGATGATCCCAAATCCCAAATCCCTCAGGAATTCCTAGGAATGATCCCAAATCCCTTGGGAATTTCTGGCTGATTTTCCCTGATCCCAAATCCCAAATCTCTTGGGAATTCCTGGAATGATTTTCCCACCACCCCAATCCCAAATCCCTTGGGAATTCCTGGGAATTATCCCAAATCCCAAATCCCTGGGGAATTCCCAGATGATTTTCCCTCATCCCAAATCTCTTGGGAATTCCTGGGATGATTTTCCCATCACCTTGATCCCAATTCCCTCAGGAATCCCCTGGAATGATCCCAAATCCCAAATCCCTCACGAATTCCCAGATGATTTTCCCTCATCCCAAACCCCAAATCCCTTGGGAATTCCTGGGAATGATCCCAAATCCCTGGGGAATTCCTGGATGATTTTCCCTCATCCCAAATCCCTTGGGAATCCCCAGGGATGATCCCAAATCCCAAATCCCACGGGAATTCCCAGGAATGATTTTCCCACCACCCCAATCCCAAATCCCTGGGGAATTCTCTGGAATGATCCCAAATCCCTCAGGAATTCCCTAGTAATGATCCCAAATCCCAAATTCCTCAGGAATTCTCTGGAATGATCCCAAATCCCAAATCCCTTGGGAATTCCTGGATGATTTTCCTGATCCCAAATCCTGAATCTCCAAGGAATTAATGGATGATTTTCCCACCCATCCTGATCCCAAATCCCTCAGGAATTCTGAGAATGATCTCAAAATCTCAAATCCCTGGGGAATTCCTGGACGATTTTCCCCCTACCCTGATCCCAAATCCCTGGGGAATTCTTGGATGATTTTCCCTCATCCCAAATCCCGAATCTCTTGGGAATTCCTGGATGATTTTCCCACCACCCCAATCCCAAATCCCAAATCAAGAATTCCCAGGAATGATCCCAAATCGCAAATCCCTCAGGAATTCCTGGGAATGATTTTCCCCCCACCCTGATCCCAAATCCCTGGGGAATTCCCTGGGATGATCCCAAAATCCCAAATCCCTGGGGAATTCCCAGATGATTTTCCCCCACCCAGATCCCAAATCCCTCAGGAATTCCTGGATGATTTTCCCTGATCCCAAATCCTGAATCTCTTGGGAATTCCTGGATGATTTTCCCACCCATCCTGATCCCAAATCCCTCAGGAATTCTGAGAATGATCTCAAAATCTCAAATCCCTGGGGAATTCCTGGACGATTTTCCCCCTACCCTGATCCCAAATCCCTGGGGAATTCCTGGATGATTTTCCCTGATCCCAAATCCCGAATCTCTTGGGAATTCTTGAATGATTTTCCCACCACCCCAATCCCAAATCCCTGGGGAATTCCCAGGAATGATCCCAAATCCCAAATCCCTCAGGAATTCCTGGGATGATTTTCCCACCATCCTCATCCCAAACCCCTCCAGAATTCCCAGGAATGAACCCAAAATCCCAAATCCCACGGGAATTCCCAGATGCTTTTCCCTCATCCCAAATCTCAAATCTCTTGTGAATTCCTGGATGATTTTCCCACCATCCCAATCCCAAATCCCAAATCCCTCAGGAATTCCTAGGATGATTTTTCCACCACCCAAATCCTAAATCCCTCGGGAATTCCCAGATGATTTTCCCTGATCCCAAATCCCGAATCTCTTGGGAATTCCTGGATGATTTTCCCACCACCCCAATCCTAAATCCCTCAGGAATTCCCAGGATGATTTTCCCACCACTCCAATTCCAAATCCCTTGGGAATTCATGGGAATGATCCCAAGTCCCAAATCTCTTGAGCATTCCTGGGATGATTTTCCCTCCACCCCAATCCCAAATCCCAAATCCCTCAGGAATTCCTGGATGATTTTCCCTCATCCCAAATCCCAAATCCATTCAAGAATTCCCAGGATGATTTTCCCCCCACCCTGATCCCAAATCCCTTGGGAATCCCCAGGGATGATCCCAAATCCCAAATCCCTGGGGAATTCCCTCATCCCAAATCTCTTGGGAATTCCTGGGATGATTTTCCCATCATCCTGATCCCAATTCCCTCAGGAATCCCCTGGAATGATCCCAAATCCCAAATCCCTCACGAATTCCCAGATGATTTTCCCCCCACCCTGATCCCAAATCCCTTGGGAATTCCTGGGAATGATCCCAAAATCCAAATCCCTCGGGAATTCCCAGATGATTTTCCCTCATCCCAAATCCCTCGGGAATCCCCAGGGATGATCCCAAATTCCAAATCCCTCGGGATTTTCTGGGATGATTTTCCCACCACCCTGATCCCAAATCCCAAATCCCTCAGGAATTCCCGGGGCTGATTTTCCCACCATTCCAATCCCAAATCCCTCAGGAATTCCCAGGGATGATCCCAAAATCCCAAATCCCTGGGGAATTCCTGGATGATTTTCCCTGATCCCAAATCCCAAATCCCTCAGGAATTTCCTGGATGATTTTCCCACCACCCTGATACCAAATCTCAAATCCCTGCTGGAATTCTGGGCTGATTTTCCCCCCATTCCCAACTTTTTTCTCCCATTCCCAATTTTTTCCCCCATTCCCAATTTTTCCTCCATTCCCAATTTTTTTCCCAATTTTTCCCCCATTTCCAATTTTTTCCCCCGTTCCAAATTTTTTCCCAACTATTTTTCACCCATTCCCAATTTTTCCCATTCCCAAATTTTTCCCAATTTTTTCCCAAGTTTTTTTCCCAATTTTTTTCCCAATTTTTCCCCCCATTCCCAATTTTTTTTCCCGTTTTTCCCTTCATTCCCAATTTTTTCCCAATTTTTCCCCCCATTCCCTCCCAAGTTTTTTCCCAATTTTTTCCGAATTTTTCTCCAATTTTTTTCCCATTCCCAATTTTTTTTCTTAATTTTTTTCCCAATTTTTACCCCCATTCCCAAATTTTTCCCCCCCATTCCCAATTTTTTTCCCAATTTTATCCCCCATTCCCGAATTTTTTTCCCCCCATTCCCAAATTTTTCCCAATTTTTTTTTCCAATTTTTCCCCCATTCCCAATTTTTCCCAATTTTTTTCCCCCCATTCCCGGTTTTTTTCAGGACCTCTTCCAGGACGGGGCTGATGAGCAGCCCCTCCCCCCACAGGAACTGCTGGGAAAGATTCCAGGTGGTTGGGTCAGTCACGAACCTGCGGGGAAGGGGAGAAAATGGGAATAAAAATGGGGATTAAATTGAAATTAAATTGAAATTTAATGGGAAAAAAATAGGGAAAAAATGGGAAAAAAATAGGGAAAAAATGGGAATAAATGGGAATTAAATTGAAATTAAATTGGGAATAAAATGGGAATAAAATGGGAATTAAATGGGAATTAAATTGAAATTTAATGGGAAAAAATGGGAAAAAAATGGGAAGAAAAATGGGAAGAAAATGGGAAGAAAATGGGAATAAAATGGGGAAAAAATGGGGGAAAAATGGGAATAAAATGGGAATTAAATGGGAATTAAATGGGAATAAAAGGGGAAGAAAATGGGAAAAAAATGGGAAGAAAAATGGGATCAAAAATGGGAATAAAATGGGAATAAGGGTAAAGGAAAAGGTAAAAATAGAAATTAAGAAATAGAAATAGAAATGGAAATAAAGGAAATAAAAATGGGAATAAAATGGAAATGAAATGGGAATAAAATTGAAACAAAATGGGAATAAAATGGGAATAAAATGGGAATAAAATGAGAATTAAATTGGGAATAAAATGGGAATAAAATGGGAATAAATGGGAATTAAATTGAAATTTAATGGGAAAAAATGGGAAGAAAATGGGAATTAAATGGGAAAAAATGTGAAGAAAATGGGAATAATGGGGAGAAATATGGGAAGAAAATGGGAAAAAATGGGAATAAAAATGGGAATAAAATGGGAAAAAAATGGGAATTAAAAATGGGAAGAAAATAAAGAAAAAGGTAAAAATAGGAATTAAAAAAATAGAAATAGAAAAAATGTGAAAATAAAAAAAATCATCAAAAATAGAGATAAAAATAGAAATTAAAAAAATAAAAATAAAAAATAGAAATTAAAAATTAGAATTTAAAATAGAAATTAAAAAGTAGAAAAATGCGAAAATAAAATAAAAATAGAAATTAAAATAATAGAAAGAAAAAAGTGAAAATAAAAAATAATCAAAAAGACATTTAAAAAAATAGAAATTAAAAACAGAAATTAAAAAATAGTAATTAAAAAAGAGAAATAAAAAAATAGGAAGAGAAATTAAAAAATAGAAATTAAAAAAATAGAAATTAAAAGATAGAAATAGACAAAAGAGAAAATAAATAATAATAAATAATAGAAATAGAAATTGAAATTAAAAAAGGCATTAAAAATGGAAATAGAAATTGGAAAAAAAGGGAAATTAAAAAGGGAATAAAAATGGGAATAAAAATAAAGGAAAGGGTAAAATATAGAAATTAAAAAATAGAATAAAAATGGGAAAAAAGTAAAGAAAAAGGTAAAAATAGAAATTAGGAAATAGAAATAAAGGGAATAAAAATGGGAAGAAAATGGGAATGAAAAATAGGAATAAAATGAGAATAAAATGGGAATAAATTGGGATTAAAATGGGAATAAAATGGGAAGAAAATGGGAAGAAAATAGGAATAATAGGAATAAATATGGGAATAAATTGGGAATAAAAATGGGAAATAAATGGGAATAAAATGAGAAAAAAATGGGAATAAAATGGGAATAAAATGGAAATGGAAAAAAATGGGTATAAAATTGAAATAAAATGGGAAAAAATGGGAAGAAAATGGGAAGAAAATGGGAAGAAAATGGGAAGAAAATGGAAAAATGGAAATAAAAATGGGAATAAAATAGGAATAAAATGGGAATAAAATGGGAATAAAATGAGAATAAAATGAGAATAAAATGGGAATAAAATGGGAAAAAATGGGAATAAAAATGGGAATAAAATGGGAATAAAATGGGGGAAAATGGGAATAATGGGAATAACTAGAAATGAAAATTGAAATAAAAATAGAAATGAAAATAGAAATGAAAATAAAATTCGAAATGGAAATAGAAAAAAATAGAAATTAAAATAGAAATAAAAATAGAAATAGAAATAAAAATCGAAATGAAAATCGAAATAAAAATAGAAAATAGAAATAAAAATAAAAATAGGAATGAAAATAGAAATAAAAATAGAAATTAAAATGAAATTAGAAATGGAAATAGAAAAAAATAGAAATTAAAATAAAAATAAAAATTAATCTTGAAATCAAATTAAAAGCAGAACCAGAACTAAAAACCAAAATGAACTGAACTGAACTGAAATGAAATGAAATGAAATGAACTGAACTGAACTGAACTGAAATGAAATGAAATGAAATGAAATAAATGAGAAATGAAATGAAATTAAATTAAATTAAATGAAATGAACTGAAATGAACTGAAATGAACTGAACTGAAATGAACTGAACTGAACTGAAATGAAATAAATGAAATAAATGAAATAAATGAAATGAAATGAAATGAAATGAAATGAAATGAAATGTAAATGAAATGAAATGAAATGAAATGAAATGTAAATGAACTGAACTGAACTGAAATGAAATGAAATGAAATGAAAGGAAATGAAATGAAATGAAATGAACTGAACTGAACTGAAAAATGAAATGAAATGAACTGAAATGAAATGAACTGAACTGAAATGAAATGAAATTAAATTAAATTAAATTAAACGCGATTTAAACAATTACAAATTGAAGGGGTCTCACTCGTGCAGGAGGGGCCTGACCACGGTGTGGCCGCCGCTGTGGGCGTGGAACAGCAGCGTGTACAGGTGGGGCAGCAGCCGGTACCGCGTCAGCAGAACCGCCCGCGACAGCTCCGCGAAGGCAGAATCCCAACCCACCGGATCCTGGCGCTGGGGAACACGGATAAGGGGAAATTGGGATGGGAAATGGGGAATTTCCAGGGGTTAGGGGGGAATTTGGGGGTTTTTCGGGGGGTAAATTGAATTTTTATTCTGAAAATTGGAGAGGTTTTAGTTGTAAATTTGGGGGTTTGGGGAGTAAATTGAATTTTTATGCTGAAAATCGGAGGGGGTTTAGTTGTAAATTTAGATTTTAGGGGGAAATTGAATTTTAAACCAGGAATTTGGAGGGGTTTTAGTTGTAAATTTGGGGGTTTTGGGAGTAAATTGAATGTTTATGTAGAAATTCAGAGGGGTTTTAGTTGTAAATTTGGGGTTTTGGGGGGTAAATTGAATTTTTATGCAGAAATTCAGAGGGTTTTAGTTGTAAATTTGGGGTTTTTGGGGGCATAAATTGAATTTTAAACCAGGAATTTGGAGGGGTTTTAGTTGTAAATTTGGGGGGTTTGGGGGGTAAATTGAATTTTTATGTGGAAATTTGGAGGGTTTTTAGTTGTAAATTTGGGGTTTGGGGAGTAAATTGAATGTTTATGTTGAAAATCAGAGGAGTTTTAGTTGTAAATTTGGGGTTTTGGGGGAAAATTGAATTTTTTGTAAATTTGGAGGTTTTGGGGAGTAAATTGAATTTTTATGGGGAAATTCAGAGGGGTTTTAGTTGTAAATTTGGGGGTTTTGGGGGGAAAATTGAATTTTTATGTGGAAATTCGGAGGGGTGTTAGTTGTAAATTTGGGGGGTTTGGGGGGTAAATTGAATGTTTATGTGGAAATTCAGAGGGGTTTTAGTTGTAAATTTGGGGTTTTTTGGGGGGTAAATTGAATTTTTATGCAGAAATTCAGAGGGTTTTAGTTGTAAATTTAGATTTTAGGGGGGAAATTGAATTTTAAACCAGGAATTTGGAGGGTGTTAGTTGTAAATTTGGGGGTTTTGGGGAGTAAATTGAATTTTTATGTGGAAATTTGGAGGGGTTTTAGTTGTAAATTTGGGGGTTTTGGGGGGGTAAATTGAATTTTAAACCAGGAATTTGGAGGCTTTTTAGTTGTAAATTTGGGTTTTTGGAGAGAAAATTGATTTTTTATGCAGAAATTTGGAGGGTTTTTACTTCTAAATTTAGATTTGGGGGGGGGGGGATTCTTTATTATTACCTATAAATTGAGTGAAATTTCAGCCAGAAATTTGGGGAATTTTTATTCAGAAATTCAGGGATTTTTCAGTCAGGAATTCAGGGAATTTTCATCCAGAAATTCAAATATTTGGTGAAAAAATTAATCTCATTTTCACCCAGAAATTCAGAGAATTATCGTCCATAAATTCAAACAATTTTCATGGAAAAATTCGTATATTTGGTGGAAAAATATTCTCATTTGCACCCATAAATTGAGAGAATTTTCATCCCAAAAATTCAGAAAATTTTCATTCAGAAATTCAGGGAATTTTCATTCAGGAATTTATGGATTTGGGGAGAAATTAATCTCATTTTCACCCTGAAATTCAGAGAATTTTCACCCATCAATTCAAATGAATTTCACCCATAAATTCAGAGATTTTTTTTTTTTTCAGAAATTTAAGGAATTTTGGCAAAAAAATGGGGTGAAATGGAGGGAAAATTGAGGGAAAATTGAGGGAAAATGGGGGGAAAATGGGGGAAAATTGAGGGAAAATGAAGGAAAAATGGGGGGAAATGGAGGAAATGGAGGGGAAATACTGGAAATGTGTGAGAAAATGGAGGGAAAATTGAGGAAATAAAGGAAAAATTGGAGGAGAATGGAAGGAAAATGGAGGGAAAATGAGGGAAAATTGAGGGAAAATGGAGGGAAAATGAGGGGAAATGGAGGAAATAAAGGAAAAATTGGAGGACAGCGGAAGGGAAATGGAGAAAAAATTGTGGGAAAATGAAGGGAAATGAAGGAAAATGGGGGAAATGGGGGAAAAAGGAGGGAAAATGGATGTGAAATGGAAGGAAAATGGGGGGAAAATGGGGGGAGAATGGGGGGAAAAGGAGGGAAAATGAGAGGGAGAAGGAGGGAAAATTGGAGGGAAAATGGAGGGAAAAAGAGGGGGAAATGGGAAAAAATAGGGGAAAATGGGTGAAAATGGAGGGAAAATGGAAGGAAAACAGAGGGAAAATGAGGGAAAATGGAGGGGAAATACTGGAAATATGTAGGAAAATTGAGGAAATAAAGGAAAAATTGGAGGTGAATGGAAGGAAAATGGAGGGAAATGGAAAAAAATGGAGGAAAAAATGTGGAAAATGAGGGAAAATGGAGTGTAAATGGAGGGAAATGAAGGGAAATTTTGGGAAATCAGGAAAGGAGCCTCTGGAATGTCCCACCCTGGCTCCTTTGCCATTGTGGTTGCAGGAGTAGGGGTAGAAGGCTCCCAGTTCCATCCAGGAAGGAAAAATGGGAGGAAAATGGGGGAGAAATGAGAGGAGAATGGAGGAAAATGGAGGGAAAATTGGAGGGAAAAATGGAGGGAAAATGGAGGGGAAAATGGGGGGGAAAAGAGGGGCAAATGGGGGGAAATGGAGGGAAAAATGCAGAGGAAATGGAGGGAAAATTGGAGGGAAAATGGAGGGAAAAAGAGGGGGAAAATGGAGCGAAATTGGAGGGAAAATGGAGCGAAATTGGAGGGAAAATGGGGGAGAAATGAGGGAGAAATGAAGGAAAATGGAGGGAAAATGGAGAGAAAATGGAGGAAAAGTGGAGGGAATAAAGGAAAAATTGGAGGACAATGGAGGAAAATGGGGGGAAATGGAGGAAAATTGAGGAAAAATGGGGGGAAATGGAGGAAAATGGAGTGTAAATGGAGGAAAATGAAGGAAAATGTGGGAAAATCAGGAAAGGAGCCTCTGGAATGTCCCACCCTTGATCCTTTGCCGTTGTGGTTGTGGGAGTAGGGGTAGAAGGTTCCCAGTTCCATCCAGGAAGGAAAAATGGGGGGGAAATGGGGGGAAATGAAGGAAAATGCAGGGAAAACGGAAGGAAAATGGAGGGAAAATGGAGGGAAAATGGGGGGAAATGGAGGGGGAAATGGAGGAAAAATGGAGGAAAAATTGGAGGGAAAATGGAGGGAAAATGGGGGAGAATGGGGGAAAAATGGGGGAAATGGAGGGAAAATGGAGGAAAAACAGGGAAAAATGAAGGAAAAATGGGGGGAAATGGAGGAAAATGGAGTGTAAATGGAAGGAAAATGGAGGAAAATTGGTGAAAATGAAGGAAAATGGAGGGAAAATTAAGGAAAATTGGAGGAAAATGAAAGGAAAATGGAGGGAATGGAGGAAAAATGGGGAGAAATTGAGGGAAAATGGAGGTAAATGGAAGAAAATTGAGGAAAAAATGTGGAAAATGAGGGAAAATGGAGTGTAAATGGAGGAAAATGGAGGGAAAATGAAGGGAAAATGAAGGGAAATTTAGGAAAATTAGGAAAGGAGCCTCTGGAATGTCCCACCCTGGATCCTTTTCCGTTGTGGTTTCGGGAGTAGGGGTAGAAGGCTCCCAGTTCCATCCAGCGGGCGCAGAGCTCGTAGGTGGAATCTTGGAAGAATCCGCAAATGTCGGCGCCGCTCTGGGAAAAAAAACCCGGAAATTACCGGGAATTCCAACCCAAATCCCGGGATTTTGGGGGTGGGGAGGGAGGAATGGGTGGGACTTACGTAGGGGATGCCGAAGAGGCTGAATTCCAACATTCCTGGGGGGAAAAAGAGGGATTTAGGAGGGAAAATTGAAAAAAAATGGGAATTTGGGGAGAAAAAAATGGGATTTGGGATGGAAATTTAAAAAAATTTGGGAATTTTGGGGTGAAAAGGGAGAATTTGGGATGGGAATTTTAAAAAATGTGGAATTTTAGAGGTAAAAAGGTGGAATTTGGGATGGAAATTTAAAAAAATGGGAATTTTTGGGGTTAAAAAATGGGAATTTTGGGATTAAAAAGGGGAATTTGGGATGGGAATTTAAAAAAATTTGGGAATTTTGGGGGGAAAAAGGTGGAATTTGGGATGGAAAATCAAGAAAAATTGGGAATTTGGGGGTAAAAGGTGGGATTTGGGATGGAAATTTTAAAAATTGGGAATTTGGGGGCTAAAAATATGATTATTGGGAAAGAAAATAAGGAATATATGTAGAATTTGGACTAAAAATGTGATTTTTAGGAAGGAAAATATGAAATAAATTTGGAATTTTGCTCAAAAAATGTGATTTTTAGGAAGAAAAATATGAAATAAATATGGAATTTTGGGCTAAAAATGTGATTATTGGGAAGGAAAATAAGAAATAAATATGGAATTTTGGTTAAAAATTTGATTATTGTAAGGAAAATGAGGAAAAAATGGAATTTTGGCTCAAAAAATGTGATTTTTAGGAGGGAAAATGATGAATAAATATGGAATTTTAGCTCCAAAAATTTGATTTTTAGGGAAAGAAACTGAGGAAAAAAAATGGAATTTTGGTTCCAAAAAAATGTGATTTTTAGGGAGGAAAATGAGAAATAAATATGGAGTTTTAGTCTAAAAAAAAATGATTTTTTGGGAGGGAAATCAAGAAAAAACCATGAAATTTTAACTCAAAAAATGTGATTTTTAGGGAGAAAAATGAGAAATAAATATGGAATTTGGGCTAAAAATGTGCTTATTAGGAAGAAAAATGATGGATGAATAAATATGGAATTTTATCTCAAAAAATGTGATTTTTAGGAAAAAAATGAAGAACAGATATGGAATTTTGGCTAAAAATTTGATTTTTAGGAGGGAAATCAAGAAAAAAATGGAATTTTAGCACCAAAAAAAGTGATTTTTAGGGAGAAAAAAAAAGAGAAATAAATATTGAATTTGGAGTAAAAAATGTGATTATTGGGAAGGAAACCAAGGGAAAAAAAGGGAATTTTGGCTCCAAAAAATGTGATTTTTAGGAAAGAAACCAAGAAAAAAATGGAATTTTAACTCAAAAATGTGATTTTTAGGGAGAAAAATGAGAAATAAATATGGAATTTTGACTCAAAAAATTTTGATTTTTAGGAGGGAAAATGATGAATAAATATGGAATTTTAGCTCCAAAAAATGTGATTTTTAGGAAGAAATGTGAGATATAAATATGGAATTTGGGCTCAAAAAATGTGATTTTTAGGGAGAAAAATGAGAAACAAATATGGACTTTTAGCTCCAAAAAATTTTGATTTTTAGGAAGAAAAATATGAAATTAATATGGAATTTTGGGCTAAAAATGTGATTATTGGGAATTAAAGTAAGAAAAAAAATATGGAATTTTGGCTAAGAAATGTGATTTTTAGGAAGAAAAATGATGAATAATATGGAATTTTGGCTCCAAAAAATGTGATTTTTACGAAGTAAAAAGGGAAATAAATATGGAATTTGGGTTAAAAAATGTGATTTTTAGGAAGGAAAATAAGAAATAAATATGGAATTTTGGCTCCAAAAAATGTGATTTTTAGGAAGGAAAATATGAAATAAATATGGAATTTTGGGCTAAAAATGTGATTATTGGGAATTAAAGTAAGAAAAAAAAGGAATTTGGGCTAAAAAAATGTGATTTTTAGGGAGAAAAATAAGAAACAAATATGGAATTTGGGCTTAAAAATTTGATTTTTAGGAAAGAAACCAGAAAAAAAAAGGAATTTGGGCTAAAAAATGTGATTTTTAGGGAGAAAAATATGAAACAAATATGGAATTTCGGGCTAAAAATGTCGTTATTAGGAAGGAAAGCAAGAAAAAAACATGGAATTTGGGGTAAAAAATGTGATTTTTAGGAAGAAAAATAAGAAACAAATATGGAATTTGGGCTCAAAAAATTGGATTTATAGGAAAGAAACTGAGGAAAAAAAATGGAATTTTAACTCCAAAAATTTGATTTTTTTGGAAAGAAACCGAGGAAAAAAATGGAATTTGGGCTAAAAAATATGATTATTAGGAAGAAAAATAAGAAATAAATTTGGAATTTGGGTTAAAAATGTGATTTTTAGGAGGGAATCCCGAAAAGAAGCCATTTTGGGGTCGGGCAATGGATTTTGGGGGTGGTGCCAACCGATGATGGATTTGTGGAGCTGGTCCCAGGCGGCCGTGTTGTCCCCCAGCCAATGCCCCGCCCAGCGGCCGCTGCCGGGGAACGTGGAGCGAGTGATGAGCAATCCACGCTCGCCCGTCAATGAACGCAGCGCCCTGCGGACACCACAACAATTAGTTTAGAGTTTGAGAAATATTTATTAAATAATTAGGTTCTCAAAATTATTATCATCTTAAAATCGCGATTATTTTTAAATTCTTCGTTAATAATGCGAATTATATAGTTTTATTCGCTATTTTATTAAATTTATTAAATATTTTATTAAATATTTTCATTGATTTAATATTTTAATTTTATTAATTTTTGTTAATTAATTTACTAATTATTTTTATTAATTATTTTATTATTTATTTTATTATTTATTCTATATAATTTATTTATTATGTTATTAGGTTGTTAAAATTATCATTTTAAGGAAATTGTGATTATTTTAAAATTATTCGTTCTTTTACTAAGCATTATTTAACAACTATTAATTATTTATTAATTTTTTTCTTATTTATTCTATATACTTTATTAACTATTTGTTCATTATTTATTACATTGTTTGGTTATTAAAATTATTATTTTAAGGTGGAGCGAGTGATGAGCAATCCACGCTCGCCCGTCAATGAACGCAGCGCCCTGCAGACACCACAACAATTAGTTTAGAGTTTGAGAAATCTTTATTAAATAAAAAATTAGGTTCTCAAAATTATTATCATCTTATTTTAAAATTCTTCGTTAATAACGCAAATGATATTATTTTATTGGTTATTTTATTAATTTTATTAGACATTTTTATTGATTTATTAATTTAATTTTATTAATTTTTTGTTAATTTATTTATTTATTATTTTATTATTTATTCTATATACTTTATTTATTATACTATTAGGTTATTAAAATTATTATTTTAAGGAAATTGTGATTATTTTAAAATTATTTTACTATTATTTAACAGTTATGACTTATTTATTTATTATTTTATTATTTACTTTATTATTTATTTTATTTTTATTCTATATACTTTATTTATTATACTATTAGGTTATTAAAATTATTATTTTAAGGAAATTGTGATTATTTTAAAATTGTTATAGCATTATTTACCAATTATTAATTTTTATTTTATTTTTATGTGATATACTTTATTTATTATGTTATTAGGTTATTAAAATTATTGTTTTAAGGAAATTGTGATTATTTTAAAATTATTTTACTATTATTTAACAGTTATTACTTATTTATTTATTATTTTATTATTTACTTTATTATTTATTTTATTTTTATTCTATATACTTTATTTATTATGTTATTAGGTTATTAAAATTATTATTTTAAGGAAATTGTGATTATTTTAAAATTATTTTACTAAGTATTATTTAACAATTATTATTTATTTGTTATTTTATTATTTATTTTATTATTTATTTTATTACTTATTCTATATACTTATTTATTATGTTATTAGGTTATTAAAATTATTATTTTAAGGAAATTGTGATTATTTTAAAATTATTCGTTCTTTTACTAAGCACTATTTAACAACTATTAATAATTTATTAATTATTTTATTATTTATTTTATTATTTATTTTATTATTTATTTTATTATTTATTTTATTTTTATGCTATATACCTACTTTATTTATTATATTATTAGGTTATTAAAATTATTATTTTAAGAAAATTGTGATTATCTTAAAATTATATGTTATAGCATTATTTAACCATTATTAAATTAAATTAAATTAAATTAAATTAAATTAATTTTAATCAAATTAAATTAAACTAATCTAAACGAAACTAAACTAATCTAAACTAAACTAAACTAAACTAAAATAAAATAAAATAAAATAATGAAATGAAATGAAATAAACAAAACGAAACAAAACGAAACTAAACTAAACTAAACTGAAATAAAATAAAATAAGATAAAATAAAATAAAATAATGAAAGGAAATGAAATAAACTAAACTAAATTAAATTAAACTAAACTAAACTAAAATAAAATAAAATGAAATTAAAAAATTAAATAAAATAAAATAAAATAAAATAAAATAAAATAATGAAATTAAATTAAATTAAATTAAATAAACGAAACTAAACTAAACTGAACTAAACTAAACTAAACTAAACTAAACTAAACTAAAATCAAATCAAATCAAATCAAATCAAATCAAATCAAATCAAATCAAATCTAAGGCACTCACTGGAGGGTGGGCGGGGTCTGGGCCCAGCCGTACAGGTTGTGAACATCAAATTAAATTAATTAAATGAAATTAAATCAAATCAAATCTAAGGCACTCACTGCAGGGTGGGCGGGGTCTGGGCCCAGCCATTGCAGGTTGTGAACATCAAATTAAATTAATTAAATGAAATTAAATGAAATCTAGACACACTCACTGGAGGGTGGGCGGGAGTCTGGGCCCAGCCGTACAGGTTGTGAACATCAAATTAAATTAATTAAATGAAATTAAATTCTATAATTGCCTCACTCACTGGAGGGTGGGTGGGAGTCTGAGCCCAGCCGTACAGGTTGTGAACATCAAATTAAATTAATTAAATGAAATTAAATTCTATAATTGCCTCACTCACTGCAGGGTGGGCGGGGTCTGGGCCCAGCCGTACAGGTTGTGAACATCAAATTAAATTAATTAAATGAAATTAAATGAAATCTAACACACTCACTGCAGAGGTGGGCGGGGTCTGGGCCCAGCCGTACAGGTTGATGAACATCAAATTAAATTAATTAAATGAAATCAAATCCAATCTAAGGCACTCACTGGAGGGTGGGCGGGGTCTGGGCCCAGCCGTACAGGTTGTGAACATCAAATTAAATTAATTAAATGAAATCAAATCAAATCTAACACACTCACTGAGAGGGTAGGCGGGTCTGGGCCCAGCAGTACAGGTTGTGAACATCAAATTAAATTAATTAAATCAAATCAAATCAAATCCAATCTAAGGCACTCACTGGAGGGTGGGTGGGGTCTGGGCCCAGCCGTACAGGTTGTGAACATCAAATTAAATTAATTAAATGAAATTAAATGAAATCTAAGGCACTCACTGGAGGGTGGGCGGGGTCTGGGCCCAGCCGTACAGGTTGTGAACATCAAATTAAATTAATTAAATGAAATTAAATTCCATAATTGCCTCACTCACTGGAGGGTGGGCGGGGTCTGGGCCCAGCCGTACAGGTTGTGAACATCAAAGTGCCGCACGGGGGTCCCGTCCGGGAGCTGCTGCTGCCCCTCCATGCAGATGGTTTTGTAGCTCAGCCCCTCGGAGCGAGAGCCCAGCTCTGTCAGGATGGGATGGGAAGGAAATAAAATCCTGGAATTAACAGGATGGCACAGAATTCCGGGAATTGGAAGGGTTGGAAAGGAGCTCTGAGGGCAGCGAGTCCAAGCTTTGATCCAAGAACAACACAGGGCCCAGGAAATCAGGGAATCAGGGAATTATGGAAGCAGAGAATCAGGGAATAAGGGAATTATGGAATCAGAGAATCTGGGAATTATGGAAGCAGAGAATCAGGGAATCAGGGAATCAGGGAATCAGGGAATCAGGAAATTAGGGAATTATGGAAGCAGAGAATCAGAGAATCAGGGAATTATGGAATCAGAAAATCAGAGAATCAGGGAATCAGGCAATTATGGAATCAGAGAATCAGGGAATTAGGGAATTATGGAATCAGAGAATCAGGGATTTATGGAATCAGAGAATCAGGGATTTATGGAATCAGAAAATCAGGGAAATATGGAATCAGAGAATCATGGGAATCAGGGAATTATGGAATCAGGGAATTATGGAATCAGGGAATCAGGGAATTATGGAAGCAGGGAATCAGGGAATCAGAGAATCAGGGAATTATGGAATCAGGGAATTATGGAATCAGAGAATCAGGGAATCATGAGAATCAGGGAATCAGGGAATCAGAGAATCAGGGAATCATAAAATCAGAGAATCAGGGAATCAGGGAATTATGAAATCGGTTAATCAGGGAATCAGAAGGGTTGGAATGGACTTCTGAGGTCAGCAAGTCCAACCCTTGATCCACGACCACCACAGTGCCCAGAATATCAGGGAATCAGGGAATTATGGAATCAGAGAATCAGGGAATCGGGGAATTATGGAATCAGAGACTCCAAGAATCAGTGAATTATGGAATCAGAGAATCAGGGAATTATGGAAGCAGAGAATCAGGGAATCAGGGAAATATGGAAGCAGAGAAACAAGGAATTATGGAATTACGGAATCAGAGAATCAGGGAAGTATGGAATCAGGGAATTATGAAATCAGGGAATCAGAGAATCAGGGAATTATGAAATTATGGAATCAGAGAATCAGGAAATCAGGGAATTATGGAAGCAGAGAATCAGGGAATCAGGAAATTAGGGAATTATGGAATCAGAGAATCAGAGAATTATGGAATCAGGGAATTATGAAATCAGGGAATCAGGGAATTAGGGAATCAGAGAATCAGGGAATTATGGAATCAAAGAATCAGGGAATCAGTGAATTATGGAATCAGAGAATCAGGGAATTATGGAATCAAAGAATCAGGGAATCAGTGAATTATGGAATCAGAGAATCAGGGAATTATGGAATCAAAGAATCAGGGAATCAGTGAATTATGGAATCAGAGAATCAGGGAATCAGGGAATCATAGAATCAGGGAATTATGGAATCAGGGAATTATGGAATCAGGGAATCAGAGAATCAGGGAATCAGAGAATCATGGAATTAGGGAATTAGGGAATCAGAGAATTATGGAATCAGAGAATCAGGGGATCAGAGAATCAGGGAATTATGGAATCAGAGAATCAGAGATTTTGGGAATCAGAGAATCAAGGAATCAGTGAATTATGGAATCAGAGAATCAGGGAATTATGGAATCATGGAATAAGAGAATCAGAGAATCAGAAATTTTGGGAATCAGAGAATGAGGGAATCATAAAATCACGGAATCAGAGAATCAGGGAATTATGGAATCAGAAGAATCAGGGAATCAGCAAATCAGGGAATTATGGAATCAGGGAATCAGGGAATTATGGAATCGAAGAATCAGAGAATCAGGGAATTATGGAATCAGAGAATCAGGGAATCAGAAAATCAGGGAATCAGAAAAGCAGAAAATCAATCAAAGAATCAGGGAATCAGAGAATCAGAAAATCAGGGAATCAAAGAATCAGGGAATCAGGGAATCAAAGAATCAGAGAATCAGGGAAACAGAATCAGAGAATCAGGGAATTATGGAATTATGGAATCAGAGAATCAGGGAATTATGGAATCAGGGAATCTGAGAATCAGAGAATTAGAGAATAATGGAATCAGAGAATCAGAGAATTAGGGAATCAGAGAATCAGGGAATTATGGAATCAGGGAATTTTGGAATAAGAGAATCAGAAAATCAGAGAATTATGGAAGCAGAGAATCAGAGAATGAGGAAATCAGGGTATTATGGAATTAGAGAATCAGGGAATCAGGGAATTATGGAATCAGGGAATCAGAAAATCAGGGAATCAGAGAATCAGGGAATTATGGAATCAGGGAATCAAAGAATCAGGGAATTATGGAATTAGAGAATCAGGGAATTATGGAATTATAGGATTTAATTCTGGATAAAAACCACATTTAGAAGGTTCCAAAAGTGGGAATTTGGGGATTTTTCCAGGACTTACGGGGCATGTAGGGTGGGAAGTTGAGTTGTTGGTCCCGGCAGGAGTCGACGGAGCCGTGGACGAAACTCGAGGGTTCGTTCATGTCCTGAAAATGGGGAAAAAACACCCAGAATTCCTCTCAAATTGGGGAAATTCCCATGATTTCCGTGAATTTCCAACGGGTCGATAATTTACAGGCGGTTTGGTTGTTTAATTCCTCGTTAGGGAATTAAATAATGGGAAAATCTGTGTTTTTTGGTCATTTAATCGACAGAAAATGGGGAGATTAAAGGTTTAATTTTCCTGGGATTGACGGGAAATTCACGGAATATTCGGGATATTTGACAGGTTGAGGGAATTAAGGAAGGAATTTAGGAGTTGTTAATTAACTCAAGAGATTTTCCACGGTGGGTTTAAGGGATTTCTTTCAACTTGCTGGGAAAAAAATGAAGTTTTTCTTACTGGGAAGTGAAAATTTGGGATGGGAATTATCCCTAAATGTATAAAAAAATTATCAACATGAAATAATTATATAAAAAAATTAAAGGGTGTATCTAAAAAAATATATTAAAAATAATATGTGTTAAAAATGTTAGGTAATATATTAAAAATATTAAATCACATAATAAAAATATTATATAATTAAAATTATATATTAAAAATTATTTTAAAATAATAAATAATACTATTTAAATATTATATAATAAGAAATATATTGAAAATATTTTAAAATATTAAAAATATTAACCATATATATAAATATAATATATACTAGAATTAAGATATGTAGAAAGATTAAATAATAATATTTCAAATATTTCAAAAATATATTCTAAAATATGTATTAACATATTAAATAATACTATAAAAATATAATTTAAATATATATAATAATATAAAAAATAAACATTTAAAAATAATAATATAGAATATAATAATAATATTTTAAAGAAACAAAAGCCATTGGCAAAAAGGAAAGGAACAAAAATATAAATATAAATAAATATAAACCCGGGGGGGTGGGAAAGGAAAATAATTAAAAATGGCAATAAATAAATAAATAAAAAAAGTTTGGGGTCCAAATTTCAGGCTCCAACTTTCCCAAAAAGGTTATTAATTATTAAAAATGTCAGTTTGTTTTTTATTAATAATATAAAAATATAATAATATAAAATTTAATAATATAAAAATATAAAATATAATATAACATAAATATATAAGATATAAATAATAAAAATATAATAATAAATGTAAAATATAAATATAATATAATGATATAAAAATATAAAATTTAATAATATAAAATGTATTACTATAAGTGATAAGTAAGATTTATAACGATTTTATAACAATGTCTAATAATATTTATAAACAATTTATGATCATATTTATGCTACTTATAAATCATAACATTTATAACTAGTTATAAATAAATAAATTAAATAGTTTAATTATAAATATAAATAGAAATAGTTCGAAATAATGATATTTTAAAGAACATTTCTAAATAATATTTTTATTGTATAAATCATACGTCCTAGAAATAATAGGTCATATAAAAAAAATAATATATAAAGAATTTGTAATATAAAAAGAATTTGTAATGTAAAAAGAATAAATATAAAAATATAAGATAAATATAATGTAATATAATGTAATGTAATATAATATAATATAATGTAATGTAATACAATATAATATAATATAATATAATATAACATAATAGAATGTAATATAATATAATATAATATAATATAATGTAATATAATGTAATATAATATATAATAAAATGATAAATAAGGATTACTAAAGATTATTTTTATATTACATATTATTTTTATTTTATTATTTATTTATTGTTTTATATTTGTTATATTACTTATTATTTATTAATTATTATTAATTATTATTAATTATTAATTATTAATTACTAATCATTTCTTGTTACTAGTGGTTAATGACTCACGATCCAGAGGCCGTCGAAGCGGATGCTCAGGGAGGCGTTGCGGGGGTTGTCGTAAACCTCGGCGATTTCCCGAGCCCACCATTCCCGGGTGGAATTCCGGAAGAAATCCGGCATGGCCGCGAACGCCCGGAAAAGCTGCCGGAAAAGGCACGGGGAGAGGAGAAAAAAAAGGAGAATAATTTCATTTATTTAGTGGTTTTAAATTATTAATTTATTAATTAAATAATTAATTAATTAAATTAATTAATTAAATTATTAATTTATTAATTATTTTATAAATAACAGTGAAAATAAAATATAATTTTTTAAAGTTTCCCATATTAATTTTTAAATTTTTTTGTTAATTTATTACTTATTGTTATTAATCTGTATTATCTTATTCATTTCTATTATATCTTATTTTTTCTATTATTTAATATTACTTAATATTTCCATTATTTAATATTTATTTTATTTAATACTATATTTATCTCTATCGTTTTATTTATTTCTATTATTTAATATTACTTAATATTTCAATTATTTAATATTTTATTTAATATTATACTTACCTCTATTATTTTATTTATTTCTATTAATTTCTTTCGTTATTAATTATATAATTTCATTACTATTTATTTCTGGGTTTAGTATATATTTCACTAAAATAGTTTCTTTCTTTTTACAAATGGAAACCTAATTATTTTTTTCTGACTGGAATTTAAGTTCCTCCAAACAAATTACTTAATTAATTAATTGATCTTTCATTTATTTTATGCGTATCAATAAATATTTTAATAAATAATTTAAAGAATAATTTGTAATCATTTCATTAAATAACTTAATTAAATAATTTAAATAATTAAATTACATGACATTTTAATAAATATTTAAATTGAATTAATTTCATTTAAATTACTTTCAAATTAAAAAATTTATATTTTTATTTTGCTGCTCCGAAATCAATTCCGGTCCCAAATTTGAGGAATTTCTTTCTTTTTCACCCCAAAAAATCCCCTTTTTTTACCTCAACTTGGGTGTCCCAATCCAAAGATTCATCGACCTCCACGTTGGGAAAATCCGGCCAGACCTGGAAAGGGAAAAAGAGGGAAAATTTCAAATTTAAATTTTAATTCCTTTTTAAATTTTTATGCTCATTTTCAAATTTGATTTTTAAACTTTTAAATTTTTTATTGGAAAAACTTTTATTTTAATTTTTTTTTAATTTCCTTTTTAATCTTTAATTTCATTTTTAAATTTTACTTTCCTTCCTAAATTTTACTTTAATTAAAAAAATTTAATTCCATTTTAAACTTTACTTTTTCAAGTCATTAAATTTCCTAATTTTGATTTTATTCTATTTTATTTGATTTTAAATTTTAATTTTATTGTTCAAATTTTATTTCATTTCCAATTTTTACTTTCCTATTTTAATTTTGATTTTCTTTCAAATTTCTACTTCCACTTCCAAATCTTAATTTGATTTTTAAAGTTCATTTCATTCTAAACTTTTAAATTTTTTTTCATTTTAAGCTTTGAGTTTCATTTTAAAATTTTACTTTCATTCTTAAATTTCTAATTTCATTTCTAATCTTTTACTTTACTTTCATTTTTAAATTGAAATTCTATTTTAAATAAATTTTTCTATTAAAATTTAATTTCTATTTTTAAATTTTGATTTCATTTTAAACTTTAATTCCATTTTTAAATTTTACTTCCATTTTAAAATTTTAATTCCTTTTGAAACTCTTACTTTCATTCCTAAATTTTAATTCTATTTAAAACTTTTCCTTTTATTTTTAAACTTTAAATCCATCTTTAAATTTTGCTTTCAATTTCCAGTTTTAATTCTATATTTAACTTTCATTTTTAACTTAAATTCCGTTAACATTTTTAATTGAATTTTTTAATTTTACTCCCCTTTTTAAACTTCAATTCCATTCTTTAATTTATTATTAATTTTATTTCCTTTTAAACTTTAATTCCATTTTTAAATTTTCCTTTCAATTTTCCTTTTAATTTTATATCAAACTTTACCTTCATTTTTAAATTTAAATCCTGTTTTGAACTTACAATTTAAACTTAAATTTCAATTTCAATTTCATTTTCCAATTTGAATTTCATTTTCAACCTCCATTCCTAAATTTTATTCCATATAAAAATCCTAGTTCCATTTTCATTTTTAATTCCATTTTAAAATTTTAATTTCCTTTAAAATTTTTTCCATTTTTAACCTTTAATTCCCTCCAAAATTCAAATTTCACTTCAAATTTTTACCTTTTTTTCCTTATTAAACCTCCCTCTTTTTTTTTTTCACCAAATCGAATTAAACTCTTTTTTTTTTTTATTAAATTTGGGGTGAAATCACCGGATTTTGGGAGCACCTTGGCGTAAATGATGTCACTGCTGTTGGGATATTTGATGAACACGTCCTGCTCCTTCCCCCTCTCGAATGGTAAATAATCCGTCTCGTTGGCGGAGATGGCCGGGTCCTGAAAAACCAAATTAAAATATTTAATTACATTTATTCCATTAATTATTTCATTTTTTAAAAAAATTTAATTTTAAAAAAATTTTTAAAAAATTTAATTTAAAAAATCACGGATTTTTAAGATGAAATATTAACACTTTAAGTCTAATTTTGATTTATTTAGTATTAATTTAATAGGAATATTAATCTAATATTCTTACTTCAATTAATATATTTAAATATCGAGATTTTTATTATTAAACAATTCTGAGGAGATCCTAGAATTCTAATTCAATTTGCATTTAATATAAGGGTTTTTAATATGAAATGTTAACACTTTAAGTGTTAATTTTGATTAATTTAATAGTAATTTATTAGTAATATTAATCTAATATTAACACTCTAATTCAACATATTAATTTGTAATTAATGAAGTATATTTAATATAAGAAGTTATTAAATTAATTATTAAATTAGTCATTAAATTATTTTATTTTATTTTATTATTTTTTTATTTATTATTATTTATTTATTATTATTTTTATTTAGTTTATTATTAAACAATTCTGAGGAGATCCTAGAATTCCAATTCAATTTCTAATTCAATTACATCCATTTATTATAAAGATTTTTAATATGAAATATTAACATTTTAAGTCTAATTTTGATTTATTTAATATTAATTTAATAGTAATATTAATCTAATATTAACACTCTAATTCAACATATTAATTTGTAATTAATGAAGTATATTCAATATAAGAAGTTATTAAATTAATTATTAAATTACTCATTAAATTTTATTTATTTTATTTTATTTTTATTTATTTTTATTTATTTATTATTATTTTTATTTATTTTATTATTAATTCTGAGGAGATTCTTGAATTCCAATCAATTTGTAATTTAATTACATGCATTTAATATAAGGATTTTTAATATGAAATATTAACACTTTAACTCTAATTTTGATTAATTTAATAGTAATTTATTAGTAATATTAATCTAATATTAACACTCTAATTCAACATATTAATTTGTAATTAATGAAGTATATTTAATATAAGAAGTTATTAAATTAATTATTAAATTAATTCTTAAATTCTTGTGAGGAAATCTTAAAATTCTTAATCTTAAAATTCTCATTCAATGTTAATTCTTCAATTAATATATTTAAATATCCAGATTTTTATTATTAAACAATTCTGAGGAGATCCTAGAATTCTAATTCAATTTACATTTAATATAAGGATTTTTAATATGAAATATTAACACTTTAAGTGTAATTTTGATTAATTTAATAGTAATTTAATAGTTATATTAATCTAAGATTAACACTCTAATTCAACATATTAATTTGTAATTAATGAAGTCTATTCAATATAAGAAGTTATTAAATTAATTATTAAATTACTCATTAAATTTTATTTATTTTATTTTATTTTTATTTATTATTATTTATTTATTATTCTTTTTATTTAGTTTATTATTAAACAATCCTGAGGAGATTCTTGAATTCCAATCAATTTGTCATTCAATTACATGCATTTAATATAAAGATTTTTAATATGAAATATTAACACTTTAAGTGCTAATTTTGATTTATTTAATATTAATTTAATAGTAATATTATTCTGATATTAACAGTAATTCAAAATATCAATTTGTAATTAATTAAATATAATTAAAATAAGGATTTTTATTATCATATATTTGTGAGTAAATCTTAAAATTCTGATTCAATGTTAATTCATCATTCAATTAAATATATTTAATTACCAGAAATCTTAGTATTAAATAATTTTATGTAATATTTCTTTGATTTATTATTTATATAATCAAAATATTTAAAATAAATATTGAAAGATATACTTTAAATATTTTTAGTACTCAATTAAATTTTCTATTTTTTTCTATTTCCTTAAAAATTAAATGAATTTTAATTAAAACACTTTAAGCATTTCATGAAATAAATTGAATTACAATGGTGAACTCAAATTCCAATTTTAATTTAAGTGTAATTAAATTATTAAATTGAAATTAAATATTTATTTTACTATTTAAACATCAATTTTTTTATCCTTTCCATTCCTCCTTCCAACCAAATTTCCGTTTTCAGCCAAAATTTTCCTACCTGATTTTCACCTTGTAATTTCCATCTCCAAATTTCACTTCCGGGTAAATTTCCACGTCAATTTAATTTACATTTTAAAAATTAAATCGAGCGTTTAATTGAGTTTAATCAGAGTTTAACTGAGTTTAATTGGGGGTTAATTGAGTTTAATTTTTGGATGGAGTCATCCTAAAATTGTCAATTTACCAGGATGAGGACGAATCTCATCCCGTCCCTCCGGATTTGATCGACGAGCGCCGGGAGCCCCTGGAATTTGGGGCTGAGGGTGAAATCCAATTGACGCTCCATGTAATCGATGTCGGAATATTGCACGTCCTGGAGGGGGGGAAATCGGGGAAAAATAAAAATAAATATAAAATAAATATAAAATAAAATAAAATATAAAATAAATATTAAAAAATAAAATATAAAATAAAAATTTAAAAAAAAGGAAGGGAAAAATGTATTGGAATATAAAAATAAATGTAAATATAAATATAGATATAAATATAAATGTAAATATAAATACAGATATAAATATAAATGTAAATGTAAAAACAAATGGAAATAGAAATAGAAATAGAAATATGCATGTTAGTATAATTATAATTTTATTATAAATATAAATATAAAAATATAAAAATATAAATATAAATATAAATATAAATATAAATATAAATATAAATATAAAATAGAAGTAAATATAAATATAAATATAAATATAAATATAAATATAAATATAAATATAAATATAAATATAAATATAAATATAAAATAGAAGTAAATATAAATACAAATATAAATATAAAATTAAATATAAATATAAATACAAATATAAAACAGAAGTAAATATAAATACAAATATAAATACATAAATATATAAATATATAAATATAAATATAACTACACCTATAACTATAAACATAACTATAAAAATAAATATAACTAACTACAACTACAACTATAAATAGGAATATAAATGTAATTAAAAATATAAATATAAAATAGAAATAAATATAATTACAAATATAAATATAAATACAAATATAAAATTAAATATAAATACAAATACAATTATAGCTATAACTATAACTAAACTATAAATGTAAATATAAATATAAATATAAATATAAATATAAATATAAATATAAATATAAATATAAATATAAATAGACATACAACTATAAATATTAATATAAATATAAATGCATCTAGAAACAAATAAAATAGAAATAGAAATAGAAATAGAAATAGAAATAGAAATAGAAATAGAAATAGAAATAGAAATATAAATATATATAAATATAAATAGATACATATACCAATATATAAATATATATATAAATACACATATAACTATAAACATAAGTATAATTATAAATCTAACTATAAATATGAATATAAATATAAATGTAATTAGAAATAGAAATAGAAATAGAAATATAAAATTAAATATAAATACAAATACAATTATAAATATAAATATAAACAGAAATAGAAATATAAAATAGAAATAAATATAAATACAAATATAAATATAAAATTAAATATAAATACAAATATAACTATAACTACACATATAACTATAAACATAAATATAACTATAAATATAACTAACTACAACTATAAATAGGAATATAAATGTAATTAAAAATATAAATATAAAATAGAAATAAATATAATTACAAATATAAATATAAATACAAATATAAATATAAATATAAATATAAATAAAATAAATAAAAATATCTAGACCACGGGTATATCTTTTTTATAATATTATAAATAGTATACTATATAATGTATAAACATATTAGTTTTATAATATACTATATATAATATATATATTGTATATATAACATAACGTATATATTATATATAATATATTATATAAATATAAAAAATAACTAAATATTTACATAAATAAAAATAATATAAATATAAAAATATATATTTGCAAATTATTATAAAAATATTATAAATTATATAATATAATATATAATATAAATTATATAAATATTATATTGCAAGAATTAGGGAAAAACTCAACCTGTGACCCCCCTCCCGGCCCGAATTTTCCCGGTTTGACCCCCAAAAAGTTGTAAATTGAATTTACCAGTGGGATCTGGGCTCGGTTCATGTCCTGCACCAGTTGGGCGATTTCGGAGTCGTTCTCGTAGCCGTAACGGCAAAGTTGGAAGCCCAAGCCCCAGTAGGGGGGCAGGACGGGCCTTCCTATCAGCTGGGAGGGGGAAATTTGGGAAAATTTAGGAAAATTTGGGAATAAAGACACATCAAACAGCAAAAAAAATGAGGTTAGAATGGAAAAGAGCAAAGGAAAAGAAAGGGGGGGAAAAAAAATGGTAGAAAAGCAGAAAAATTCAGTGCCCCCAACACCGAAAAAACACCAAAATAAAATATTAAAAATAAATTTAAATAAGTAAAATTAAATTAATTGTAAGATTTATTATTAATGTTTATTTAGTGCTGGTAATTAATGTTGTTAATTAATATTTTTGATTTTATGGGTTATATTTAATTATTAATATTTCTTATTAATATATTAATAATTCATTATTATATAATATTAATCATATTATTATAATATTATTATTAATAATATTATTGTTATATAATTATATAATTAATATTAATATTGATTTATTTAATTTAATTATTATATAATATATATAATATAATCATTGAAATATTAAAAATTAAATATTAAAATTTTTTTAAAAATCTGAAAAAAAAAACTCCCCAAAAAAATCCCAAATAAACTCCCTTTTGCAAATCACAGGATATATTAAAAAAGGAAAATATTTCAAATAGTTTTTAAAAAATTTAAGAAATAATAATAAAAAAAATAAAAAGCATAAAACACCACCCACCAAAAAAAAAAATTCAAAAATAATAAAAAATAGAAGGAAATTATAAGAAAGAGAAATATTTAAAATAATTTAAAATAATGTCAGCAATAATAATAAAAAAGTTAAAAAAACACAAAGCCCCACCCCTAAAACAATATAAAATATAAAATAATAAAATTTAAAAATAATAAAAAATAAAAGAAAATTATGAAAAGGGAATATTTTAAATAATTTAAAAATAATGTCAGAAATAATACTTAAAAATAAATGATTTTAAAAAAATGCATAATAATAAAAAATAATTTTTTAAAAAAGGAATAAATAATAATAAAAATAATTTTTAAAAAAAGGAATAAATAATAATAAAAATAATTTTTTAAAAAATTAATAATAATAAAAAATAATTAAGAAACAAAATAAAACAATATAACAAACAATAATAAAAAATAATTTAAAAATAAAGTAATAAATAATAATAAAGAATTATCACCAAAAAAACCCTGAGAAATCCCCCCAAAACCCAAGAATCCAAAAAAAAAAAAAAATAAAAATCCCCCTCCCAAAAACACACAAAAGAAACCTAAAAAACCTCAAATAAAACCCCAAAATTAATTAAAAAACCCCAAAATTAATTTAAAATCCCAACTAAAACCCCAAATTCCCCAGGAATTGCCCTCACCTGGGTGTATTCCTGCACCACCTCCTCCGGCGTCGGCCCCAGGACCACGTAGAAATCCAGGATCCCCCCCGTGGTGCGGTAGGTGAGGGCAGGGGTCGGTTGAAAAGTGACATCTACATGATGAATTATTGACAGATGTGTCAATTGGGACACCCCCAGCTCTAAATTTAAGGTAAAAATTGAAGATTTGGGTAAAATTCCTGAATTTTGGGGGTTTTTTGGTACCCATGGAGTTGCTGTTGAGCAGGAGGACCCCGTGGGCGTTGCCGTCGTCTTCCAAGGCCATGTAGAAGGGGTGGAAGCCGTAGGAGTTCAGCTTGTACTGCGGGAAGGGAAAAATTCCAGGATTTCCGGCAGGAAGAGGCGGGAAAATGGTCTGGGTTTTGGGGGGTTTAGGGGTCGTGGTTTAATTGATGTCGATTATTGGAAATGATCGGAGAAATGAGGGTGTTGGGGTGGAGGGTTGGGATGGGATGGGATGGGATGGGATGGGATGGGATGGGATGGGATGGGATGGATGGGATGGGATGGGATGGGATTGATGGGATGGGATGGGATGGGATGGGATTGATGGGATGGGATGGGATGGATGGATGGGATGGGATGGGATGGGATGGGATGGGATGGGATGGGATGGGATGGGATGGGATGGGATGGGATGGGATGGGATGGGATAGAATGGTTGAATTGGGATTGGTTGGATTGGGACGAGTTTGGATGGGATGGGTTGGGTTGGGATGGGATGGGTTGAGATGGGTTGGTTTGAGTTGGGATGAGTTGGGTTGGTCTCAGCTGGCATGGGTTTGGTTTGGATGGGTTGGGATGGGTTGGATTGGGTTGAGTTGAGTTGAGTTGGGATGGGTTGGGTTGGGTTGTGTTGAGTTGAGATGGGTCAGGTTAAGTTGGGATGGGTTGAGTTGGAATGGGTTGGAATGGGTTGGGTTGAGTTGGGTTGGGATGAGTTGGGTTGAGATGAGTTGGGATGGGTTGGGCTGGGCTGAGTTGGGATGGAATGGGTTGGATTGGTTTGGGTTGAGTTGGGTTGGGATGGGATGGGTTGGGATGGGATGGGATGGGATGGGATGAGTTGGGATGGGTTGGGTTGTGTTGGGTTGGGTTGGGATGGGATGAGTTTGTTTGGGATGGGATGGGTTGGGTTGGGATTGGATGGGTTGGGTTTGGACGGTTTGGGTTGGGATGGGATGGGATGGGTTGGGATGGGTTGGGTTGGGTTGAGTTGAGTTGGGTTGGGTTGGATTGGTTTGAGTTGAGATGGGTTGGTTTGAGTTGAGATGGGTCGGTTTGAGTTGAGATGGGTCGGTTTGAGTTGAGATGGGTCGGTTTGAGTTGAGATGGGTCGGTTTGAGCTGAGATGGATCGGTTTGAGTTGGGATGGGCTGAGTTGGTCTCAGCTGGCATGAGTTGGGTTGAGTTGGGTTGGGTTGGGATGGGTTGGGATGAGTTGGGATGAGTTTGGATTGGATGAGATGGGATGGGTTGCGTTGGGTTGGGTTGGGATCAAATGATTTGGTATGGGATGGGATGGGATGGGATGGGATGGGATGGGATGGGATGGAAGGGGATGAGGAGGAGGATGGGATGGGATGGGATGGGATGGGATGGGATGGGATGGGATGGGATGGATGGGATGGGATGGGATGGGATGGGATGGGATGGGATGGGATGGGATGGGATGGGATGGATGGGATGGGTTGGGTTGGGATGGGATGGGATGGGATGGGATGGGTTGGGTTGGGATGAGTTGGGATGACTTTGGATTGGATGGAATGGGATGGGTTGCATTGGGTTGGGATGGGATGGGTTGGGATGAGATGGGTTGGGATGGGATGGGGTGGGATGGGATGGGTTTGGTGGAGTTGGGTTGGGATGGGATGAGTTTGGTTGGGATGGGATGGGATGGGATGGGATGGGATGGGATGGGTTGGGATGGATGAGTTGATTGGGATGGATGGGATGGGTTGGGATGGGATGGGATGGGTTGGGTTGGGATGGGTTGGGATGGGATGAGTTTGGTTGGGATGGGATGGGATGGTTGGGTTGGGATGGGATGGGATGGGTTGGGTTGGGATGGCTGGGATGGGATGAGTTTGGATGGGATGGGATGGGATGGGTTGGGATGGGATGGGATGGGATGGGATGGGTTGATGGGATGGGTTGGGCTGGGATGGATGATGGGTTGGGATTGGTTGAGTTGGGATGGGATGGGATGGGCTGGATTGGGATGGGAGTTGGGATGGGATGGGTTGAGATGGGCTGAGATGGTTGGGTTGGGATGGGATGGGTTGGGATGGCTGGGATTGGCTGAGTTGGGATGGGATGGGTTGGGATGGGATTGGATGGGATGGGATGGGATGGTTGAGCTGGGATGGGAGCTAGGATGGGTTGGGTTGAGATCAGTTGGGTTGTGTTGAGATGGCATGGATTGGTTGGGATGGGTTGGGATGGGATGGGTTGGGATGAGTTGGAATGGGTTGGGATCAGTTGGGCTGGATGGGTTGGGTTGGGATGGGTTGGGATGGGATGGTTGGTTGGATGAATTGGGTTGAGTTGGGATGAGTTGGGATGGGTTGGGATAGGATGGTTTGGGATGGGTTGGGTTGGGATGGGTTGTGTTGGGATGGGTTGGGTTGAGATGGATTGGGTTGGGATGGGTTGGGTTGGGATGGGTTGGGTTGGGATGCATTTCCCTGTGGCAAATCCCAAATGTTGGGGTTTTCCCTGCCCTCACCCCGGGGGGCTGGTCCCTGGTGAACATCCCCCAGGTGTGCCAGTTGAGGTCGTGGCGGAAGGACGGGTGCTCCGATTCGCCGAAGCCGTAAATGTTCGCTGATGGAAGGCGGGTGGAGATCTGGATGAACATGTCGGTGAAGGTGAAGGTCGGCAGCTGCGAATCCCAGCTGGGAAATTGGGAGAAAAATGGGGTAAATTTGGTAAAAATATAAAAATGTGGGCAAAAAAATATACAAAAAATGAGGAAAAAGATACAAAAATGGGGTTAAATTAATGAAAATAGGAAGGGAAAAGGGAAAGTCAAAAAATAAAGGGAATGTAAAAATGGGTGGAAAATTATTGAAATGGGGAAAAGGGGGAAAGAGGGGGAAATGGAAAAATAAGAATAAAACGACAAATTTAGAGGAGAAATAGGGTAAAAAAATTAAAAAATGAGATTAAATGGGACTAAAAAAATAGAGGGAAATGCAAAAATGGGCAAAAATGGGGACAAATGGAAAAATAAGGCAAAATGGGAGGGAAATAGAAAAATGGGTCAAAAATGGGAGGGAAATGTAAAAAATGGGGCAAAAATGGGAGGAAATGCAAAAATGGTGTAAAAATGGGGGAAAATGCAAACATGGGAGGAAAATGGGAGGGAAATGCAAAAATAAGGCAACAATAGGTGGAAAATGCAAAAATGGGAGGGAAATGCAAAAATAGCGGGCAGAAATAAGAGAAAAAGGCAAAAATGGGGCAAAAATAGGAGAAAAATGCGAAAAGAAAAGGCAAAAATCAGAGGAAAATCAGAAATAGGGCAAAAATGGGAAGAAAATGCAAATATGGGGCAAAAATAGAAGGAAAATATAAAAATAGAGCAAAAATGGGGAAAAAATGGGAGGAAAAAATCTGGAAAAATAGGAGAAAAATGCAAAAATGGGGCAAAAATAGAAGAAAATGCAAAACTTGGGCAAAATCAGGAGGAAAATGCAGAAATAGAGCAAAAATAAGGTAAAAATGTAAAAAAAGGCAAAAATCAGAGGAAATTCAGAAATAGGGTAAAAATAGGAGGGAAATTCAGAAATGGGGTAAAAATAGGAGAAAAATGCATAAATGGGGTAAAAATAAGGTAAAAATGTAAAAAAAGGCAAAAATCAGAGGAAATTCAGAAATAGGGTAAAAATAGGAGGGAAATTCAGAAATGGGGTAAAAATAGGAGGGAAATGCAAAAATGGGGTAAAAATGGGGGGGAAATGCAAAAATAAGGCAAAAATGGGGAAAAATGCAAAAAGAAGGTAAAAAGGGGGTAAAAATGCAAAAAGAAGGTAAAAAGGGGAGGTAAATGCAAAATAAAGCAAAAATGGGACAAAAAAAATGAAAAATAGGGGAAAAATAGGAGAAAAATGAAAAAATGGGGCAAAAAAAGGGGCAAATGGAAAAATAAGGCAAAAATGGGAGGAAATGGAAAAATAAAACCAAAATCAGAGAAAATTCAAAAATAGGGCAAAAATGTGAGGAAAATGCAAAATTGGGGCAAAAATGGGGGAAAATGCAAAAGTGGGAGGAAAATGGGAGGAAAATGCAAAAATTGGGCAAAAATCAGAGGAAATTCAGAAATAGGGCAAAAATAGGAGGGAAATACAAAAATGGGGCAAAAATAGGAGAAAAAAATGCAAAAATGGGAGGAAAATGGGAGGGAAATGCAAAAATGAGGCAAAAATAGGGGGAAAATGCAAAAATAAGGTAAAAAGGAGAGGTAAATGCAAAAATGGGGTAAAAATAGGAGAAAAAAGGTAAAATGGAGCAAAAATAGGGGGAAAATGAAAAAATGGGGCAAAAATAGAGGTAAATGGAAAAATAAGGCCAAAATGGGAGGAAATGGAAAAATAAGGCCAAAATCAGAGAAAATTAAAAGTAGGGCAAAAAAAAAGGGAGGAAAATGCAAAAAAAAAAGGAGGAAAATGCAAAAAAAAGAGCAAAAATGGGAGGAAAACATAAAAATAGGAGAAAAGGGTAAAAAGACCCCCAAAAATCGGAAGGAAAACCAAAAAAGTTGAATGGAAATTTAAAAACAGAAAAAGATGGAGAAAAAAAAATAGTGAATTGATTCCAAAATCCTGAATGACGAAATTAAAAAAAAAAATAAAAAAAATTTAAAACATTTTAAAGAAATTCAAAAATTTAAAACAAAAAGAAATTAAATTAAAATTCTGATGGAATCCGAAATGAAACCTTCGGGATTCTGGGGATGAAAAGGGGGGGGAGGGGCTCACATGACGGTGCCGCTGCTGCGACGTCGCACTTGGACCCCGAAGGGCTCGTCCTGGATGGTGACGTCATAGAGCCGGCCTTCCATCGACGCTTCCGGTGCCGCCGGCAGCGTCAGAGGCACCGGCACCTCGTAACGACGCCGGGAGGTGTCGAAGATCTGGCACCGTAAATTATCAGATGATTAAATCCAATTAAAAGCGATTTAATTAAGGAGGGGGAAGATGGTGGCGATTTTGCCTGGTTGAAAATGCTGATTAATTTAATTATTTCTCACAGTTAATTAAAAGTTTGGGGAGTCCCCTTATAATCTAAGTTATATAATTATATATTATATATGCATATATAATTGTGTAAAATAGATATAAATATATAAATATATATAAATATATAAATACATATAAATATATAAATATATGTACATGTTTATAAAAATAGATATAAATAAATTTATAAATACAAAAATATATAAATATATAAATACATTTGTATACATATATATAAATATATACATACTTATACAGAAATAGATAAATATATAAATACATTTATATACATATATAAATATATATATACAGAAATATATACATATTTATACAGAAATAGATAAATATATAAATACATTTATATACAGATATATAAATATATATACATAAATATATACATATTTATACAGAAGTATATAAATACATTTATATACATATATAAATATATATACATAAATATATATATTTATACAGAAATATGTAAATATATAAAGACATTTATATACCTATATAAATATATATACATAAATATATATATTTATACAGAAATATGGAAATATATAAATAGATTTATATACATATATAAATATATATCCATAAATATATACATATTTATACAGAAATATGTAAATATGTAAATACATTTATATACATATATAAATATATACATAAATATATACATATTTATACAGAAATATATAAATATATAAATACATATATATACATATATACATATATATTTAAATATATATGTGTTATTGATTTATGTGCATTATAAATATTTATTATATATATTGTTCATCTAAAATAAATAAATATATAAATATATATTACATATAAATATATATAAATATATTAATACATAAATATATAAATATATAAATACACTAATCAATTAACAACCCCCAACTAATCAATTAACACCCCAACCAATCAATCAATGAATCCCCAACTAATCAATTAACAGTCACCAATTAATCACTCAACAATCCCACCCAATCAATTAACCCCCCAACTAATCAATTAACCCCAACCAATCAATTAGCAATCCCACCCAATCAATTAACTAACCCTCAACTAATCAATTAACTACCCCAACTAACCAATTTACCACCCCAACCAATCAACAACCCTCCAACCAAACAATTAACCACCCCAACCAATCAATTAACAACCCCAACTAATGAATTAACAACCCAACTAATCAATCAACAACCCCAACTAATCAACTGACAACCCCACCTAATCAATTAACAACACCTACTAATCAATTAACCCCCCAACTAATCATTTAACAACCCCACCCAATCAATTAACCCCCAAATTAATCAATTACCAACCCCCAACTAATCAATTAACAACCCTCAACCAATCAATTAACCCCCACCCAATCAATTAACAACCCCAACTAATCAATTAACAACCCCCATCCAATCAATTAACCCCGCCAACTAATCAATTAACAACACCTACTAATCAATTAACCCCCAACTAATCAATTAACCCCCCAACTAATCAATTAACCCCCCAACTAACCAATTAACCCCTGAACCAGTGAATTAACCCCGCCAACTAATCAATTAACAACACCTACTAATCAATTAACCCCCAACTAATCAATTAACCCCCCAACTAATCAATTAACAGCCCCCAACTAATCATTTAACCACCCCAACTAATCAATCAAAAACCACAACTAATCAATTAACCACCCCACCCAATCAATTAACAACCCCCAACTAATCAATTAACATCCCCAACTAATCAGCTATCAACCACCATCCAATCAATTAACCACCCAACTAATCAATTAACATCCACCAATTAATTAATTAACCCCCTAACTAATCAATTAACCCCCCAACCAATCAATTAACCCCACCAACTAATCAATTAAAAACACCTACTAATCAATTGACAACCCCACCCAATCAATTAACCCCCAACTAATCAATTAACCCCCCACCCAATCAATTAACCCCCCAACCAACCAATTAACCCCCCAACCAATCAATTAACCACCCCAACCAATCAATTAACCCCCCAACCAATCAATTAACCCCCCAACCAATCAATTAACCCAACTAATCAACTAATCAATTAAAAACACCTACTAATCAATTGACAACCCCACCCAATCAATTAACCCCCTAACTAATCCATTAACACCCAGCCAGTCAATTAACCCCCAACCAATCAATCAACAACGCCAACTAATCAATTAACCCCCCACCCAACCAATTAACCCCCAACCAACTGATTAACCCCGCCAACCAATCAATTAACAACCCCAACTAATCAATTAACAACCCCAACTAATGAATTAACAACCCCAACTAATCAATTAACAACCCCAACTAATCAATTAACCCCTCCAACTAATCATTTAACAATCCCACCCAACCAATTAACCCCCAACCAATCAATTAACCCCCAACCAACCAATTAACCCCACCAACTAATCAATTAAAAACCCCTACTAATCAATTAACAACCCCACCCGATCAATTAACCCCCCAACTAATCAATCAACAACCCCCAACCAATCAATTAACCCCCAACTAATCAATTACCAACCCCAACTAATCAATTAAACCCCCACCCAATCAATTAAACCCCCACCCAATCAATTAACCACCCCAACCAATCAATTAACCCCCCAACCAATCAGTAACTGCAGTAGGTCAGTTGAACCCCACCAATCAATCAATTAACCCCCAACCAATCAACTAATCCCCACCCGATCAATTCCCCACCTTGAACTGCAGCAGGTGGTCGGTGTGGAACCCCAACTGATCAATCAACAACTAATCAATTAACCCCCCAAACCCGATCAATTCACCACCTTGAACTGCAGCAGGTGGTCGGTGTGGAACCCCAACTAATCAATCCAACCAACTAATCAATTAATCCCCACCCGATCAATTCCCCACCTTGAACTGCAGCAGGTGGTCGGTGTGGAACCCCAACTAATCAATCAACAACCCCCAACTAATCAATTAATCCCCCACCCGATCAATTCCCCACCTTGAACCGCAGCAGGCGGTCGGTGTGGAACCCCAACTAATCAATCAACAACCCCCAACTAATCAATTAATCCCCCCCCCGATCAATTCCCCACCTTGAACTGCAGCAGGTGGTCGGTGTGGAACCCCAACTAATCAATCAACAACCCCCAACTAATCAATTAATCCCCACCCGATCAATTCCCCACCTTGAAGCGCAGCAGGTGGTCGGTGTGGAACCCCAACTAATCAATCAACAACCCCAACTAATCAATCAACAACCCCCAACTAATCAATTAATCCCCCACCCAATGAATTCCACCACCTTGAACTGCAGCAGGTGGTCAGTGTGGAACCCCAACTAATCAATCAACAACCCCCAACTAATCAATTAATTCCCCACCCGATCAATTCCCCACCTTGAAGCGCAGCAGGTGGTCGGTGTGGAACCCCAACTAATCAATCAACAACCCCCAACTAATCAATCAACAACCCCCAACTAATCAATTAATTCCCCACCCGATCAATTCCCCACCTTGAACTGCAGCAGGTGGTCGGTGTGGAACCCCAACTAATCAATCAACAACTAATCAATTAATCCCCCCAAACCCGATCAATTCCCCACCTTGAACTGCAGCAGGTGGTCGGTGTGGAACCCCAACTAATCAATCAACAACCCCCAACTAATCAATTAATCCCCCCCCGATCAATTCCCCACCTTGAACTGCAGCAGGTGGTCGGTGTGGAACGTCGCCTCCACCCTCAGCGTCCCCACGGGCTCGGTGACGCCGGCGGCGGCTCCGGGGCCGCACCCGTCGCAGGTGACGTCGGCGGTGACGCCATCGGGGCCGTACCGGACGTCGATGGCGCGGTACCCGCTCCCGGGGCCGGGGTAGTGGCAGAAGGGGACGCCGGAAGTGGAAGTGCTTTCCTGGGGGGGAGGGAAGTGTGGAAGTGTCAGGGGTTGTTTTCTTTCCGTCAATTATTTCCACCCCTGAAATTGACAGCTTTGTTCGTCGATTGGGGAAAATGTGAAGATTTTCTTTGTCGATTGTCGATTTTCCGTCGATTTTTTTGGTGGGGTCTTTGTCCATTGTTAATTTTCTGTCGATTTTTTTTTTTGGGGGGGGGGAGTTTCACAAATTTTTTTGTTTCTGTTTTAGAACTTTTCTTTCGGTTTTTAACTCTCAAAAAAAAAATTATAAAAAATAAAAAGAAATTTTAAAAATTAAAAAATTAAATTTTAAAAAATAAAAAATAAAAATATAAAAATTAAAAAATAAAAAATTAAAAAATAAAAAATTTAAAAATAAAAAAATTAAAAATTAAAAAATGGAATTGTAAAAAAAATTTAAAAATTAAAAAATAAAAAAAATAAAAAATAAAAAATGAAATTGTAAAAAAATTTAAATATTAAAAAATAAATTAAAAATTAAAAAATGAAGTTGTAAAAAATAAGAAAATTTTAAAAATTTAAAAATTAAAAATTTTAAAAATTAAAAATGAAATTGTAAAAAATAAGAAAATTTTAAAAATTAAAAAATAAACAATTTAAAAATTAAAAAATGAAATGGTAAAAAATAAGAAAATTTTAAAAATTTTAAAAAAAATTAAAAATTAAAAAATGAAATTGCAAAAATAAAAAATTAAAAAATTAAAAAATAAAAATAATAAAAATTAAGAAATGAATTAAAAATAAAAATTAAAAATATAAAAATAAACAATTTAAAAAATTAAAAATGAAATTGTAAAAATAAAGAAATTTTAAAATTTAAAAATTAAAAATTTAAAATTAAAATGAAATGGTAAAAATAAGAAAATTTTAAAGATTTAAAAAAGAAAATTTAAAATTAAAAATGAAATTGTAAAAATAAAAATTCTAAAATTAAAATAAAAGATTTTAAAATTAAAATAAATTGTGAAAATAAAAGTTTTAAAAATTTAAAAAATAAACAATTTAAAAATTAAAAAATGAAATTGTAAAAAATAAAGAAATTTTAAAAATTTTAAAAATAAAAAATTTTAAAAATTAAAAATGAAATGGTAAAAATTAAAATTAAAATTAAAAATTAAAAATTAAAATTAAAAATTAAAATTAAAAATTAAAAAATTAAAAATTAAAAAATTTAAAAATTAAAATTAAAATTAAAAATTAAAAAATGAAATTGTAAAAAAAATTAAAAATTAAAAAATTAAAAATTAAAAAATAAAAATTAAAAAATAATAAAAATAAAAAATTAAAAATAAAAATAAAAATAATAAAAAAAGAAAAATAATTAAAAAATAAGAAAAATAAAAAATTAAAATTAAAAATTCGGAGAAAATTCTGAAAGGGAAAAAAAATATCTGTGGAGGGCCAAAAAAAGTGGAGAAGGGGGAGGTTTGTCAGGAGGAAATGTTTGAAAAGTGAAAGTTTCTGAAATTTTTGGTTATATTTGAATATTTATATATTTTTTTCATAATCTTATGTGGTTATGTATTTCTATATAGTCATTTCTTTATATATTTATATTTTATAATTTAAAATATTTTTGTATTCATGTATTTATATCTTTATAGATTTTAATGTTTATATATTTTTATATTTTATATTTTTATATGCATTTTTATATCGATGTATTTTGATATATTTATATATTTCTGTATTTCTATATAATTATATTTTTATATATTCATATTTTATAATTTAAAACATTTTTATATTCACGTATTTATATCTTTATAGATTTTTCCATTTCACTCCATTTTTTTAAACCTTTTTTTTAATAATTTTAATTTTTTTATTTTAAATTTCTATTTTCTTCCCTATTTTCTCCTTCCTCGACCTCCCCCTTTCCATAACCATTTCCCCCCACCAAATTTACCATCCCACAAACTCCCACCCCCCAAACTTTCCTTTCCCCCCTTAAATTCCCCACCAAAAAAAACCTCATAAAATTCAAATTTTTTCCAATTTTTCCCCCTTTTTTTTAAATTGAATTTTTCCAGGAATTTTTGCTCTTCCCAAGATTTTCCCCCCCCCTCCATCCTCACGTTCCAGACGCAGCCGAGGCTCTCGCAGCTCTCTCGGGAGGCTCCGGGGTTGGGGTGGCAATCGAAGCGCTCGTTTTCCCTCGTCCCCATCGACCACAGGAGGGTGAAGGACTCACCCAGGGGCAGCTGCAACCCCTGCACCTCGGCCACCTGCAGGGAGATTCATTTACAGCTCACTGAAAAATACTTGTGTGGGTAAATCTTTAAATTTTTATTTTTTTTAATTTTTTATTATTATTTTTGTCGTTATTATTTCCTATATTTTCATTATTATTATTATTAGCATGGGTAATTCTTTCATTTTTTAATATTTTTTAAAATTTTTTATTATTATTTTCGTCGTTTTATTTCCTATATTTTCATTATTCATTAATATTATTATTAATAATAGTATTATTATTTTATATATATAAAGTTGCTCTTGTTAATGTGTGTTGTTGACTTCTGTAATATGTGATTGATAGAAGGTATTGTATGTTGGATATTCGAATATATATTATATAATTATAATTATAACTATAACTCTATATATTTCTATTTTTAATTCCTAATTCTTATTATATTAATTACATAGAATATATAATTATATAATATATAATATATAATATATAATAATATAATATATATAATATTAATATTATTATGTTAATATATTATGTATTATTATATATTATTATATATATTCTTAGATTACATATTATTATATAGAATATAATATTATATTAATATTATTAAAATTAATATAATATATTATATATTTTATATATAATATATATAATTATATATAATAATATATATAATATTATATATAATATATATAATATATAATATATATAATACAATGTAAAATAATAATATATATAAGATATATAATATAATGAGATGTATATATGTGTATATATATTTTATATATATTTATATATAATATATATAAAATATATAATAATATAATGAGATGTATATATATGTATATATATTTTATATATATTTATATATAATATATATATTAATAAATAATAATAATATAATGAGATGTATTGTATACATTATATTTTACATATTGTATAGTATAAATTAGGTATTTTTAAATTATATATTATTATAGTATTATATCTTTTATTGTCATATATTACACATTAAAGATTATAATACATATTGCATATTATAATAATATACATATATTCATATATATAATAATATATATGCTAATGAGAGTATTAATATTGATCTATATGAACATGTCAATATCATTATTAATATTAATTTATAGATTACAAGATAATACATTGATATGCAATAATATTAATATTACTATATATAAATAAATTAAATGTGTAATATATAATATATATAAAAATATATAAATATATAAATATATATATAAATCAAAAAATCATAAAGGTGTAGTAATAACACATAAAAAAGGTGTCAATAATGTGTTAATTATAATATGAATAATTATAAAATGTAGAAATCTATATTTATATATATTTATATATTTATATATTTATATATTTATATTATTTGTATATATTTATATATTTTTATATATTTATATATTTATATATTTATATATTTATATATTTATATATTTATATATTTATATATATTTATATATTATAAGATGATAGAGAAATCTGTATGTTCTACAACTACAATAAAATAATAATAATGCCATTATAAGTAATGTACAACTACAGTATTAAAATAGAAAACATATTTATAGGGCACTGTCAATAAATTTTCAGCTGCTAAATATAATATATATATTATATATAAATAAGATATAACATATAATATATAAAATATATATTATTTATAAATATATAATCTATATATAAATAGTATATCATCTATAAAAATATATATCTGTGTATAAATAAATATATATAATATATAATCACTTTATACTAATCCATTTATATAACTACATACCTATAAATCATAATGTGAATTTCAATTTAAATTTGTGTAAATTAATATCAATTTACAACCTAGGTGTAATACATCGAAATATCGATATATAACCACCATCTATTTTCTGTAGATTAAACTCCTTTATACTAATCCTACTAATCCTTCTCTATACTAATACATTTATGTAAATAGAAATTTATAAATTGCAATGTAAATTTCAATTTAAATTCATGTAAATGAAGATCAATTTACAGCCCTGCTGGAATATAGCGAAATATTGATATATAATCACTATCCATTTCCTGTAGATTAAACTCCTTCATATTAACACATTTATATAAACACAAATCCATAAATCGTAATGTAAATTTCAATTTCGAGTCATTGAAGTGCACATCAATTTACCGCCATTTTCTGTTGATTTAACTCCTTTCTATTAACACATCTATAAAACTAAAAATCCATAAATCATAATGTAAATTTCAATTTCGATTCATTGAAGTGCACATCAATTTACCGCCATTTTCCGTAGATTAAACTCCTTTACACCAATCCATTTACACAAACACAAACCCGTAAATCATAATGTAAATTTCAATTTAAATTCATTGAAGTGCACATCAATTTACCGCCATTTTCCGTAGATTAAACTCCTTCACACCAATCCATTTACACAAACACAAACCCGTAAATCGTAATGTAAATTTCAATTTCAATTCATTCAAGTGAACATCAATTTACAGCCTCGTTGTAATGTATCAAAATATCAACATATAACCACAATTTTCCATAGATTAAACTCCTTTCTACTAACACATTTACATACACAGGAATTTATAAATTGTAACGTAAATTTCAATTTAAATTCGTGTCAATGAACGTTAATTTACAGGCCGGCTGTAACATATCAAAGTATCAATATATAACCGTCATCTCCTGTAGATTAAAGATTAAACTCCTTTATATTAACACATTTATATAAACACAAATCCATAAATCAGAATGTAAATTTCAATTTGAATTTATGTAAATTAAGATCAATTTACAGCCCCACTGGAATATATCGAAATATTGATATATAACTGTTATTTTCCGTAGACTAAACTCCTTTACACTAACCCATTTATATAAACACAAACCCATAAATCATAATGTAAATTTCAATTTCAATTCATTGAAGTGCACATCAATTTACCGCCATTTTCTGTTGATTAAACTCCTCTACACTAATCCATTTACACAAACACAAACCCATAAATCATAACGTAAATTTCAATTTCGAGTCATTGAAATGAACATCAATTTACCGCCATTTTCTGTTGATTAAACTCCTCTACACTAACCCATTTATATAAACACAAACCCC